GACACTCTAGAGGTCACAAATGATATCTGATTTTAATGAAACTTGAAATGCATGTTTATCACCCAAAGATCTTGGTTCCTGTCGATATTCCCACATATCGGATCGTAACTTCCTGAATTATGGCCCTTGATTGTACAAACAATAGCGTATTTAGCTTATGGTCACAATTTTTATCCGATTTAGAGAGCCGTTTGATCACGGTTACAACCAAATGATGATTGAGGTTCGAATTTTGTGAAAATCGGACCAAAACTGCCGGACAAAATGTGATATATTAAGGTTGTGAACCCTCTAGAGGCCACAATTTTGTTCCGATTTTGATGAAACTTTTAAATTTATGTTTATATCACAACGATCTTGGTTCCTGTCGTTAATCCAGCATTTCCTAATGTAACTTCCAGCATTATGGCCCCCGACAGCTGACATTTGTAGCCGTTTTAATTCTTATCTACGGCTGCAATTGATACATTATTCGAGGCTTTGAGCAAGTAAAATTAGGTTCCGTTGCAAAATTTTCAACACATATCATCACAGTTTGCATGGAAATAAGACATTATGTTACAAATAGTGAAGAGTGGAACACTGAAATCATAATCTTTATCTTTATCGGAGAAAACCCACGAGGTTGGACAGGCGACCCTACTCCTTGTCACGTACAACCGGGGATTCGAAACCACGCCAGTTGACTCAATGACAGGCTTTATGATACAGCATGCGCGTGCTAACCATTCGGCCACCCCCCCAATTTACAAAGGAAGACCTTAGGACGACCTACTACTGTGGCTGGGGCAAGACGGAAGACATCAGTCGTGGAACCATTTCTAGGCCCCTGATTGTTCAAAAAAACGCATTTTTAGCTTGTGGACCCCTAGAAATTACAATTTGTATTCAATTTTATATAAACAATTAAAAAGATCACCGTTTCACATCAACGAAGGTTGAGTTCTAATTTCGTAAAAATCTGACCGAAACTGTCGGACAAAATGGATGCCCCTTGTACGCAGTGTATTTAATGTATGTAATACCAAGGTTGTGGACACTCTAGAAGTTATCCGATTTTGATGAAACTTAAAATATATGTTTATGTCCCAAAGATCTCGGTTCTTTCACTTATTTGCGCATATCAGACCGTAACTTCCTGGATTATGGTCCCTGATTGTACGAAAAATCGCATTTTTAGCTTGTGACAATTTTTATCCGATTTTAAAGACCGTTTAAATATACCACAATTACACCATAATGATGGTTGAGTTCAAATTTCGTAAAAATCGGACCGAAACTGCCTGACGAAATTGCCACTCCTTGTACGCAAATAGTGCAAAAGTATGTAATACTGTTGTGGACCCTCTAGAGGTCACAATGTTTATCTGATTTTGATGAAACTCAAACTATGTTTATATCTCGAAGATCTAGGTTCCAGTAGATATTCGCGCATATCGGACCGTAACTTCCTGGATTATGGCCCCAGGTTGTACGAAAAATCGCTTCTTTTTTTTTGAGCTTGTCACTGTCCATCTTTTGCAAAATGTGGGCGTATCTTGCATGGCAACTGCTTGTGTTTACATGGCAAGGGTGTTAGAAAACAAGAAATAAAATTTCACTTCACTATTATTAGCCAGTAAGCGTCTCCGACGACCTAAACCCTAAAGACCTAGGATGGTAGCCCCCCCCCCCCCCTTCCCCCCAAGAATTACTTTCGCCAGCTATCATTAAAATCAGAGAGTTTAATGTCCACTCGACACATACTAGGTCATTTCGGAACTAACACATTATGGTTCTATTTTATTTCAATAATTCGCTTACGCGTAGGGTCTTTAGCAGTGCGGGTGGAAACCGGAGGACCCGGAGAAAACCCACGAGGTTGGATAGGCGACCCTACTCCTTGTCACGTACAAGCGGAGAATCGAAAACACGCCAGCAGACTCAATCACCGACCTTATGATACAGCGCACATGAGCTGACCATTCGGCCATCCTACCACCCGTGTTCATAAGAACATAATGTATGCTTTCGAAAAATTTGTAATGTAGTTTAATGATTGGTCACTTCAATAACAATGAGCTACATCACGAAAAGGGTCCCCCATGTGCGATTACCGATACAATATCAATATAGCAAAGAACCAATCGCTAAGCAATATTACCAAATGATATTCCAATATCCACTCCTAGGACTAGGTAGGTACCAAAAGAGCCAGATGTCTTCAAGTTTAGGAATGTGACCCCACAGATAATACAGATTTGTTGAAGAGAATTGTGTCATCAAGTTGACAAAAACAATAAATTGTATCCCAATTATTATCTGATTCAGATGGTGTGTTGTATAAGTCTCATATTACACTTTTCTTTATTTAGAATGTACAAGCTAGATGGGTTTGGGATCTGGAGCCTGTTTCACGTAATTTTAACTCATGTAATTTGATTGGATAATATTAGGTTGATTTTAGTGCTTAGCAAATCAAAATTGACTGGATTTTATCTTTAGTTAAGATTTCGAGAAACAGGGCTCAGGTTCTATGAGATTTTCAATTCAAATTGAGATTGAATGAGAGAAACTAATCAAATTATATGTAGAAAAAAGACTTAATAACAATTTAGTATAATAAAAAAATCGGACCAAATATTACATAATGTAATAATAAGCTTCTTTAATGAATGTAATATCTACAGCACCTTGTCTAACTAGCCAGAGTATACAAATCACTTACATTATTTTACTCATATACTTTTCTATTGAACAATTTGATGTTAACCAATTAATCTTTTTGATAAATGAACAAGCCAACAGTGCTTGTCCCCCACCGAAATCCCAAAATAAATAGATGATACATATTATTAATAATTGCACATTTATTTTTTAAAAAAAAGTATCAAGCAATCAAACTGATTATCAACTATATACACTAAGTTTCATCACTCTCTATCAGATAGAATCAAAGTTAGATCATCTCCAAATCGATTTGCCACTGGAATTGGGTGCAAATACGTGTAACCCTAATTTACAACTCGCCATGTAAGGTACGATTCTCCATAATAATTTTAAAAAGACGGGTCTCATTTTGTCCCGCTAGACACTACCCAGCTGCTTTGGCAAAGTAAACGCTCTACAGGTCAGTTTTTCATTTTTTTCACCATCTGTTAGGAATTATTGTTCCCTGCACTGAAATGGAGGAATTAGATTAGCGATTTTACGCAAAACTATTAATCTTTTATTCTGATAGTTCGGAAATTGAGAAAATAAATACAGCCCTTGTATATAATAGATAACAAAGGTAAACGTTGTTAGTTTAATTGTTACTATATTAGCTGCTAACAACAGGCTCCTTGCAGGGCCGGAGAGGCTGCCCCTGGAGCTTCTACTAGCATATTAAAATGTCTAATAACTCCACAGAGTAAAGATACACTGTGATAACTGTCTGCTACTATAGCAGGCTAACATAGACATCGGGTAATGTCACACGTCATTAAGAGGTCTAGTCTGGCTCTGCTATGTAAACGCCTTTACTCTGTGCGAGCCACGTTACACGTGGAAAATATTTTTTCTGACCGAATGCTTCATATATTCTCAAGTGCGTTTGTTATTACATGTATGTTTGTAGTTTGTCCTAATGTGATTTTTTTATTTTTTGTAATTGTATCCCGCTCCCCGTGGGCGTTTTTATGCAATAAAATTTATCTTATCATAGTTGCATTGTTATGAACATGTTTTAAAAAAGCTTCTCATAATAATAATTATTAGTGTCGGAAAAAAGTCGAGGATTTGCAATTGTGGACTTTATTGTAACTGAGAATAATTATTTTGTTTGTAATCGAACGCTTCTCATAAATGTTTTCGAAAAAGGACTAAAAGGCATTGTACTGGCGGAAAAAAACGAGGATGTTGGACTGCACCGTATCACAATCCTTGAATATTCGCAGTTTTTGATGGTGTTCAAAACACTCAATTCTATGTCCTGAGTGATTTATTAAATTATTGTCGGTATTGTGGTTTGTCTTTCTGGTTATGTGGGTTGTGTACGGACCGTATTTTGAGCTACACATTTGAGCTTTGGTAGACTGGTTTCGATCTGGGTGCTCATGGTTAGTGCTAAATGATAAGGCCGGCTCAATTTTTCTTCATAGGTCACGTGCAAACTTCACGCAGCGATCCATCTACGTCATCACTCGGCAAACCGTGCTACAGGGTACCGGAATCTGCCGAGGTTTGCCGAGTGTCTACGTCATACGTTCTCAGGCGGAGCTATAGCTGTAGACCACACTGATCCGCAGTGAATATTTGCTTGGCCGCGACAATCACTGATAAGGATGACATTGATGCGGCTTAATGAGCTAGAAATATTAACTTTTTTCCTGCGACAAATTAAATTCTAAAACATTTTTTGTATATATTGGAAAAATAAATAAAGGCGTTTGACGTATTTGTAGTTAAAAATTATTTCCGATTTAGTGTAAATGGGTATTAAAATGACTAAAATGCAGCATTCTCTCCGAAGCAGTTATGTCTTATGTAAACAATGCACGCGCCATTCAGCCAATGATTCACACCGCGTGCTGTGACAGCACGTGTTAAGGCAGTCATCTATGACAGATATTATACGAGACTCGTAATTTAATTCTCTGTGAAACAGATTGGTTGTAGACAGGCAGCCTAAGTTTGGGATGAGGCCACGTGATGTAAACAGGACTAGCGCTAATCCCAACCCTAGTCCTAACCCTGGACCTGGTCCCGGACCTGGCCCCAATGCTTATCCTAACTCTAACCTACAATCTCTCCAACCTTATTTACATCTCAACGGCATTGACAGAAATTGAGCTGGCCTTAACAAATAGATTTAGCCGGAGGGCTCATTAACGCTCAGCTTGATAGTCTCGGTTGTCATAAGTGAATGGATGTATAATCAATAGGCCTGATCATCAAGTTTAACAGATTTCTTTGCGCATACGCAATGATGTAAACTCAAGTTTTCTAACCATATTTTATCAACAAAATTCCAGGTATGAGAAATTAATAATTGGATTATAATTAAAGTTGACAAATTATATAGAGGTGTGACACGCACCTACTTTGGAAAACATAAGCGTTTCTTATCCCAGTGTGTTCAGATTGAGATTCAGCCGTTATGTGAATCTGTACATGACTTCCACTCCAATTTATGTGGTTTTTAGGGAGATCGACTGATGTATTTTCGACCACCAGGACAGGTAATTTCGTCAACTAAATTTCAAAATACATTTTCCAATTGACTGTTTATCATATTGATACATTCTAATAATAGCATGGTCGTAATATCCGTGTTCTTTCTTTTTAAATGACCTTCATCAATAGCGAATCCATTTTTGTAAGCCAAAACAATGCCTGAACTGAAGTTTGACAGCTCACCAAGCCGTAAGAAAGAAGACGCCATTTTGCGAAACTGAAAGTTTGACTTTTCAAAACTTATATCATTTAAATTGGAAAACAGTGCAAATACAATAACAAAAAAAACCCTGTTGATATAAATATGTTGCCCTGCAAACCCATTTTGTGTATCAATACGCCGTCAGATAATTATGACTATGTTTTTCATTATGAGTATGACTAATAATAATAATATTTATATAGATTATAGGGTAGGCCTAATGTTAATAAGTACTAACGACTAGTAACGTTGCCCTTCCCATTTCAGGGTGCATTCCATCCCATGCTATATCCTCATATCCCCCCACGTCTGTATTTTTTAGTGTGTAGCGTCAACATGCAATATTGTAGCATCAACATGGTCTCTGCTATAATTGTAACATTGATGCTTTGCTCAAGTAAAAATACTTAATGATAATAGTCCCAAACAAATAATTTTTTAACACATAGTATCATGTGACATAGGCCTAGGACTACCGCACAACCGGTGCATGTAGGCCTATTGTCATAATTTGAATTGAAATAAATGCTTCTTCTATCACAAACAATGAATAAATATATATACTAGCAGAATGCCCGGCTTCGCTCGGGGGTCATAACCCCGGAAGTGGTAGACTAACGCCACCTGGCCTATGTTACTCCCTGGTCCGAGCTACCCCTATACCCCAAATTGCAGACTCGGGGCAGACCTAGTGTAGCCGCCAACCCCGAACAGTCCGGGGGTCATAACCCCGAAACCGGAAGTGGTAGATTAACGCCACCTGGCCTATGTTACTCCCCGGTCCGAGCTACCCATATACCCCAAATTTCAGACTCGGGGCAGACCTAGTGTAGCCGCCAACCCTGAACAGACAGACAGACAAACGACAGTCACAAATATTAGTATAGAAGATGAATCATTAAAACAGTTACTGAACAGTTTCTCTTTGTGGTAATGTTTTTTACATTTTCTAATCAACATTGTTGTGAAAATGAAATGAAATGGAGTTTAACGTCCTACTGTTCTGCTCCTAACCTGGGCTAATGAAGATGGGCATACGCCATACAGTGTGCTATGAGGGAAATTTTGCCCGGACAGCGGCACTACGGCCTACTCTTATATCAAATTCCAACTGCCAAGGGATCTTTTACGTGCATGCCAATGTGTACACGGGACCTAGGTTTTTCGTCCCATCCGAACGACTAGACAGCTTTCCTTGTCAGCCCCTCCGTCCTGCATCACTGACAAGGGAGAACCACGCCGGAATATCTGAATGAACTTTCTCGGCCAATGCAGGGATCGAACACAACATTGTTGTATAGTGCTCAAGTGGCCATAACGTTACCGACATAAAATCTCGAGTAGCCATTGGATTTTTCAAATCATAGAAATATATGGTAAGGTTTCACTATTATTTGAATGTGGATTAGGTTATAAAGCTATATGTTGTACCTTTTGGGGCCAGATTACTTGAAAATTAAGGAAGATATACAATATAGGCCAGTATCAAATGATTACAAAATCTTCTCAAAGGAATTCCTTAGAACCTTCCACTACTTTGGCTGGAGGAAAGACGGAAGACATCAGTAGCAACCATTTCTAAGTAACAAGTGCTGTGTAACCCACAAACAATTTATAAGCTTACATAATTCTGTTGTTGTTAATTTCAACAATATTACTACTAACCTAGGGTTTACGAGAACAAACTCCTCATGTAACTTTTGAAAATTTGTGTTGCCTCAAAAACTCAATTAAAACTTGGTTTTTTTTTTGTTCTTTTCAATCAAACTGAAATGAAAATTACATGTTTCAAAGCTTATCCAATATTTATATGTAGGTGTGTGATACATTTCAGTCACAAGGGGTTGAAATAATCTGATAGCTTGAAGACCAGAGCTATAAATGTCAGCTATCTTGTAAGAAATGTCAATCTTGAATCTTGCTCTATGTTGAAGAAAGGGAAGGTTTTCAAAATTTGGAGAGGACGAATAATGATCAGCAGCTAGGACTACATGTCCTGTATGTTGAAGTATATTGTGTAATTTATGTCTATCAAAGATTTTTTCACTTTATTAAAGCAACTAATTTGAATATCTTTCTCTCTTTTGCAGGTATTTGAACTATTATGAATTTGGAATATCACAGTCACAGTTCAGTGAGTTCCCTTCATGAGCAAACTGAACAGAATAGCAATGTTTATCCCTATGACAGAAGGGCAGCTTCTCCAGGATCTATGACAAGGTTCACAAATCCACAAATGTCTAACTATCAGAATTACCCAAGAGGACAACCGGCACACTATACTGGCTCACGAAGTCCTAGCTTAGATTCTAGAGACTTTCAGTCGAAGCCTTTAAATGATTATGGTACAGTCAATGGAAGGTATGTATCCACATCAAAATTGTAATTCAAATACTCACTAAATTTAGATTTATAGCCTGTGATGATACATGTACCACCTGTATGTCAACCATTTGTCCATAGCCTTTTTATATGCAGTATTCAACTTCTTCTCTGGAAGCACTTGAAAGATTTCAACCAAATTAAACATACATTATGCAAGAGCTAAATCTGCCAATTGCATGTCTTTCTTTAGGCCTGATATGTTATCTAAATCATTAATTAACTTATCCAGATCATAATCAACTCTCGATGGCATCGCTAGCCTGTGATATTTACTGGATTAGAACCCGGTTTGCTGCTTCTGATTAAATAAAAAAATGGATAATCGAGACTATGTTTTTTATCGTACCGACATCAATAATGATGATCGAGGCCAAGGTCGAAATTTCAATCGCTTAATCCTCGGTTCATAGTGGATCCATTTGATTGAAATTTTCAGCAAATTGCCATTACATTATCTAGTTTTTAACTATTATAGTGAGAACTGCCAGCTCTTTATCTAATCTCCCATATTAGCATTTAGCTATTTAAAATTCTGTATGTCCATGTAAAATGTTGGTCATTTGAATTATTAATTAAGACCTTTGTTATGTTATGATGTAAAATAGACTGAAATTAATAATATGATTATTTTTCTTTCATCAGGGATGCTTCCTATCCTGGAAGTCGAAACAGTTATCAAGGTCTCTCTGATGGTCAGTCATATCCAGTTGAAACAAATGATGAATCTGGAAACTATAGTGATCACAATACATTTAATACATATAAAGACACATATGGAAATGAACAAACATTAGAAAGACAATATGATGATCTCAGTTTTTCAGAGAGAGAGCATGTTAGTGATCATAATGACCCGTATTATAGTGGTACTGGTCAGCCGCTATATTCTGAAACAGATGGTTATCCAAGTGAAAGAAATTATCAAGATGCACCATATGATCCATACAGTAACCGTGTGGATACAGATACACTTCCAGCGGTAAACAACTATGAAACCCACGAAGACTTGTATGTTATTAATGCAAGATATGCCGACACAGACCTGGATGGTCCAAATTATAGAAATAGTTATTCTAAGGAAGAGAATCCATACAGCTCTACAAATTCACCCCGGTTAAGAGGAAGTTATTCATCAAATAGACCAGATGATCACAATCAACAGGGTTACAATATGGATTCTCTGCATGGTAATATGGATGCCGGTCTTCCACCAATGAGAACTGATCCATTTGCTGATGATCCATTCCGAGATGGTGGCAGTGAATCTAGCTATAGACATGACGTGAGGCCTTTAGATGAACACAGTTATGAGAGAAACCAAGATAAATATGGTAAGCTCAAATGTTAACACCTTTATAGTTATAGTTATAGTTATATACATGTACAGTGTTCATGAGACAAATAATCCTATTGAATTTCAGTGATTCCTGATAATTACCATCACAGTTATTGCCCATGATCAGTTTGAAAAATATTGTACAGATCTTGTCATTCCAGAGACTAATTTTATCTGATTGAATCTGAATTTCCATTCAACCCTCTTAGAATTTTCCAAGGAAAAGGACACCAAATATGGGATTTTGAATCTTATGGTGATAAGGAAATAGTTTGAACTCAATATTTAGAAGCACTGTAGTTTCAAATAAAGTTTGAGGATTGGGGTAAGAAAATCGGATAATAGTAATGTTCTTACTTATATCATTTTATACACCCATGTTGAAATGTTTATGGCCCGGACAGGTCATCAATTTCATGTGTGGCTATTTACTGTTTTCTTATTCATTATTATTATAATCAGATGCATTTGTTGCAGCTCCAGCCCATTTGGAAGATAACTTGCCTCCATACGAAGAAGAGCCTTATAACTCCAACAGGCCTCCATATGAAGAAGACCCATATATGTATAACTCCAGCAGTCACCATGATCCAGTTTCATATCAGGATCAAGACTTACCCCATTATAATGATTACATGGACTATCCTGGGGAAACTAGACCTTTTTACCCGGAGACAAAAGAAGAGGCCAACAAACTTCAAGCTCCTGCCAATGATTATGATTACTCTGATGGGCGACGTACACCTAGTGATAGTGGTAGACCAGGTAAATTTTAGTACAGGGTAATTATAAAGTAGTCAGGCAGTATATATGTAGCGGTTGGTTTTATTGTTCATCCGTTGGATTAGTCTGTCAGAAATTATTTTAAGGAGTTATTCTTTTTCAGATTTTAGTGTCCCATTATAAACAAAATAATATTGGCTGTTATGCAATTTAACTGCTCTGGACATATGTTTCATAGCCTGGCAACTTATCCATAAAATTTAATAATAATTATAAGAAACTAGTTTCTCGAGTTGTTAGTATACCATTAATAGTAATATGTGTTCTGTTAAATTAATCTTTTAAAAGATAAAATTTGAGTTCAAATTTTTCATAGATTTTAATATTTACACATTGTTAATGTGCAAGCAGGTTAGGTAAAGTTAATCCCAGGAAGTTTTTCTTACCTTTTTTGGTCAAATCTCAGTTTGCTTGAAGACTATATGAAGTTATGTAATTCTTATATTTTACTTCTACATATTATGGGATTTGTTCCTCATTGAAATTGATTCCTTTGGAAATATATTTCAGGTTTTCCAAAATGGAGAAACCCAGATTTACAAGAGGTAATAGATTATTTGAATGATGAAGATGATGATGTGAAAGCCCATGCTGCAGCTTACCTACAACATTTATGTTTTATGGATGATGATATGAAAGCTAAAACCAGGTAAATTAGGATATAACCACTTCCTGGGGGACATGGATCATTAGAGACCCTTGCTTGCAAGTAAATAATTTTAATACTGATATCAATTTCAAGTGTTTAGTGTAATCTAATATTCTTTAAATTTATACATAATATTTATATTTATTTTTGAAGAGGTCTTGATGGCATCCGCCCTTTAGTTAAATTACTTAGTAATGATTTTCCTGAAGTTCATAGAAATGCTTGTGGCGCTCTCCAGAATTTATCATATGGTAAAGCCAACAATGAAAATAAAGTAAGTATCTTTTCTTGGATATTTCAGAAATGCATCTTAATATTTCAGTAATCTGACTTGCATATCTTCTAAGCCCTGTAGAAATCTATCTATGTATCTTGGTAAATAACAATAAATCAAAAGAAAACTATCAAACCAGGTATTAAAACTCTAGATAAAGTGCATCAGGACCCTGTTTCTCAAAATCTTAACTAAAGTTAAAATTCAATTTTAGTACATACTTCAATTTTGATTGGCTAAGCACTAAAATCAATCTAATATTTATTATCCAATCAAATTACTAAAATTTGGATTTTATCTTAATTAAACATGCATTATGCAAGAGCAAAATCTGCTTATTACAAGTCTTTCTTTAGGCCTGAAATGTTATCTAAATTATCAATTAGACTTTAATTAACTTATCCAGACCATAATAAACTCTCAATGTCAAGGCTAGCCTTCGATGTTGGCTGGATTAGATTCCTATATGCCGCTAACGGCCACTGATAATTAAATCAGAAAAAGTGGATTATCGAAACTATGCTGTTTATATTAATGATTTAAGTAATTATGACCGAGACTATGCAAAAATTTCACCCGCTTCTTTCTCGGCTCATAGTGGATCAATTTGACTGAAATTTTCAGCAAATTACCTTTACACTATCTAGTTTTTAACTATTATAGCGAGAACTGGCATCTCGTTATCTTATCTCCCATAATGTATCTTTAAAATTTTGTGAAACAGGCCCCTGTTATATAGGGTGTTAAATTGACAGAAGGGCAAAAAACAGCACAAGTGTTTTTCTGTTCAGTGTAATAAATTTTAATTATCATTTGTTTTGCAGAAGGCAATAAGAAATGCAAATGGTATACCTGAGTTAATTCGATTATTAAGAAAAACCCAAGATGAGGATGTGAAGGAATCAGTAACAGGAATATTGTGGAATCTTTCATCTTGTGAGGTATAAAGCTGCATTATTTGTATTAAACATTCTAATACTGAGTTATAAATAAATATGTGACCCTATATCATCCTTGCCACATAAAATCCTGGGGTTGAAACCACACACTTTACTGAATAACAGACCTTATCATCGAAATATACTGAAATCCAAATGCCGAAAAGAATGAACCTTTCCTTATTGCACCTGAAATGCGAAATTGCTTCCCTTAGTAACAATGAAATAATTTCCCTGTTGCTTCATATGTAAAAATCCAGTACTGACATTATCGTGACTATATAATTAAAATCCAAGATATCTGTGCGCTTGTTCGGCCATCACGCTTCGTTGCCGCAATCCACCCCCACATATGGTTGCAAATTAACCAGCATGACCCTGTGAATGGTTTAGGCCATCGAATTTGGGTACCCGGGCAAATTCAGCCTGGGCCCCGAATGAATAGTGCTTCAGTGCTGTACTCAACCCTCACTCAAGTGGTATCAAGTTAACCAGCAAGAACCTGTGAATGTTTTTTTTTAGGTCATCAAATTTTGGCCCTGATAATCTGTTCTGATTATACTATGCTGCCTGGACAAGTTTTTGATGGCGGTTGTATAGTAAATGAATTAAAAACTGGTAATTTCATATTAATTCAGAAGACCTACCTAGAAGTAGAACTTATTGGGAGTCAATTATTAGGGCTATGTTACTTAAACTGTCAATGTGTCTTTGATAATATTTTTTTTTAATTACAGGATCTAAAGAAACCAGTGATTGATGACGGAATGACTGTATTAGTTAATAACATTATAATACCTGGCTCTGGGGTGGATAGGGTTGGTGCCTTACCCTACCAAGATCATGATTCATGGACTACTGTCTTTAGAAATGGTACTGGAGTAATCAGGTTAGTTTTGAATATGGGTGTATCCACTGCAATGGTATCTTGTAGTTGAAGCTTCACACAGGTCTGATAAAATACTTTACTGGGTTGTAACACCAAAGATACCACTCTAATTTATCATATATCTATTAAATAAGCTATTGTCGGAACTGTATTTTATACTAATTCATGTCTGCTCTCAGGGCCGAGTTATGAGAAAAAATCTATTGTGTTTTAAACTTGAAAGGAATTGATATTGATAAATTTTGTTCAGATCTATCTGACTTCTCCCAGGTAAATGAACTTACACATTATATAATAAAAATGTCTACTTGCTTGGCATGCTCCTGTCTCTCAAAAATCTCAGATTAAATGTCCCATGATATAATGAACAGATAGATACATCTTGCAAAGGGGTTTTGCCTATGTGCAGACAGACAATGAGATTAATTGTGACTTAAGTTCAACAGATATTTTGCGATACTGAAACAAAACAATCAGAGTTATTCGTCACGCTAAACATGATTACAGAATACAGAAATGATTCATTGATTGGTAAGGAATACAACACCAAGTTTATACCAGCATTTGAAAATGCTAAAGAAATTTCTGACTCAATTGGGAACTATCTTGTTTGTCAGAAACATATGATGTGACAGGACGCAGCTCATATTCTTATTCGTTACCTGATGTCAAAACACAAGACTGTTCAAAATACTGCAGCTCAAATATTCAGTCGCTTACCAAGGAGCACTCATTTTACTCCAGAATTCAAAAAATCTGTGCATTGCATTTAAAGGACTCCTTATCTAGCAGATCATTTATCACCATATTCTTTTGCATGCATACTCTTGTTCTCAACAGGAACCCCTTCAAATTCTAAAATATGAACTCAATAGTGACTGTTTATGGAATTTGTTACCCTGAATATTAAACAAGCATCCAGTCTAGAAACCTTTAAGAACTAAATAAAACGCTATTCTATTTATGGACTAAATGACACATAGACTTTGCTGCACCTTGAGAGTGCATACATAGTACTAGGATGGAACTGTACTTGGTATAAATATACATATATTTTATTACTAATATTCCTTTTCAGTCCACCAGCTAATTTCATACCTTCTGTCCATGACCTCTCATAATCTGTTAACTTTTTACATAATTTTGGATTTTAACCAAATTTTTTGCTTGTTTCCTGCTTATTCAGATTTGCTCAAAAAAAGTTGAGCAAACCCATAGGAAGGGTAGGGGGAGATTGTGTAACTCAAAAAAGTAAAGTTTTATTTCAAGTATTTCCAACTTCTTCTCTTGCTGGATTTCAACTGAATTTGGTATACCAGTAGATACTCTGTTCAAATCTAATGAAGCTTTTCAGTCCAATTGGGTCAGGTTGTGTCAAATTTAGTTATTTTCATACTTCATCAAATTTTTCCCCATTGGAGGAATTTCAGCCAAAATCTAGTAGGTATGCTACTAAAATGCGCTTAATCAGATTTGTTACGATGACATTGATCGGTCCCACATTTTTCATTTCCCTTCCTGAACAGCTTCCAGATTTTAATAAAACTTTGGTATACATTCTTTTGACTCTTGCTATTGTCCCCCGCCTTTCAAAGAAAGTGGGTTCGTCCGTCCATCTGTCTGTCCATCCGTCCATCTGTCTGTCTGTCCATCACACTTTCCTTCTAATTGAGCTAGTTCATACTTGGTGTAAGTGTTTATAAGGTCAATGCCTTGATAGAGTTCGAAGATGAGCATTTTCTGCTTTAGGGTAAGCAGAGATATTGAATTTGATTGGTTGATGCTTTTGGACACGATAACTTTAGTTCTAATTAAGTGAGAGTGATCAAATTTGTTGTATAGTTTCATTACATCAATACCTTGACGAAGTTCGATAATGAGCATTTTCTGTTCAGGGTAAGCAGAGCGATAAGCAATTTGATTGGTCGAGACTACCTTGATCAGGTTCAAAGATGAGCATTTTCTGCTCCGGATAAGCAATTTGATTGGTTGATGCTTTGCGACACAATAACTTTGGTTCTAATTAAATGAGAGTGATGAAACTTGGTGAATAATTTCATCACATCAATACCTTGACTAAGTTTGATTATGAGAGCATTTTCGGCTCAGGGTAAGCAAAACGATAAGCAATTTGAGTGATAGTGGTGAAACTTTGAGTATAGTTTTATTACATTAATACCTTAACAAGGTTTGATGCTGAGTATTTTCTGCCTGGCAAGGTAGAGACTTCAATCCGATTGGTCAAGACTTTGGAACACAATAACTCTCCTAATTGAGGTAGAATGTTCAAAATTGGTGTAGGTGTCTATTACGTGAATGCCTTGACATAGTTCGTTCATGCACATTTTCCATTAAGGCTAAGCAGAGATGAGCAGTTTGGTTGGGTTAGAGCGATGAAACTCTGAGTATAGATTCATTGTATCAATACATTGACTAAGTTTGATGATGAGAATTTTCTGCTTAGGCTAAGTAGTGATAAGCAATTTGATTGGTCAAGACTTTGGAACATAACAATTCTGCTTTTAATTGAGCGTACGCGCGCTGCATCATAAAGTCTGTCATTGAGTCGGCTGGCGTGGTTTCGAATCCCCGATTGTACGTCGCAAGGAGTAAGGTGGCCTGTCCAACCTCGTGGGTTTTCTCCGGGTCCTCCGGTTTCCTCCCACTGCTAAAGACCCCTACGTGCAAGCGAATTATGTAAATAAAATTAAACCATATGTTAGTTCCGAAATGACCTAGTTTGTGTTGAGTGGACGTTAAACCCCATTTCTCTCTCTCTCTCTTTTAATTGAGGTATAGATGACTGATGTTCATTAGGCGAATGTCTTGACTGAGTTCCATGATTCCCATTAAAGCTAAGCAGAGATAAGCAATTTCTTTTGTCGATACTATGGGACAAGATAACTTTGATTCTAACTGATGGAGAGTGATGAAACTTAGTGATGAAACTTAGTGTATTGTTTCACTCACTACCAGGTACTGCAAAACCTGAGTTTGATAGTGAACATTTTATTCTTAGACTAAGCATAGATAATCAGTTTGATTACTCGATACTTTTGAAAAAGATAAATATGTAATTAATTAATATGTTAATAAGTGTCATCTGGTATTTTTTGGATTTCGTCGGGGGACATCAACCTCACTGTTGACTTGTTCAATTTTGTTCAAATAAACAGAGGGGTTAAAAAGCACCAAATGGTGATATTTTCGCACAATTATTTTCTTCTACTGCAGAACCACTTGATAGAAATTCAACCAAATTTAGTAGGTATGATGTTGTTGAAATGGTGCACATTTAAATATTTTCAAATACAACTATTATAAATTACAGTTCTCTTTTGATCTTTTATGAAATTTTGATTTAAATGTTCAGCTTGTTAAATGGATTTTTATTGATTTCTGACAATTACTCATGGAGTTATTCCTCTTGATTTACAAAGTCTTATAAACACTTCCAGAATTAACTAGCTTTGATTATTTAATCTATTCAAATCACTAGAGATCTCAATTCTCACTAGATCTTTAGGACATTTGAATAGATTGTTCACATCATGCCTGTCTTAAAGCAGTAAGATATGTTAGGTCACTGAATACAATTTAAAATAATATGCCTAAATTATCTCTGTCTGAGCTTATCCACAACCCTTTCGTTATTTAGTTCAGCATTTGAAATCTTTAAACAAACTGTAAACTGAAGTTTTAATAAGATCTTTTTAATGTGATAAATTATGCTTTTTACAGTAATCTAATTTTTTGTTAAATTTCTGAACTTAAAACTGAACTTTTTAATAAGCTATTTTTAATATGAAAAATTGTACTTTTAAACTAATAATTTAATATTGTTAATTTTTATTTATTATTCATTATTTGATGTGTATTGTTTGTTATTGTATTGCCACTATTAAAGCTGGATTTTCGGTGCATTATGAATTGTATTATTATTACGTGTTTCGGATCTTCTGTCGAAACGTATTGTTTCGCAAGAGGTTTTTTTGACAAATTTGGTCAGAAGTTGCAGCCAAAACTGTGCATGGTGAAAAAATTCTGCCGGTGTAGATACTGTTGGCCTCCGTGCAACTAAATATTAAAATTAAATTTGGGTCAGGAAGTGTTTTACGGTTGGGACAAAAAATAATCTTAGATTTCCCTTTATCTCGGTTATTTGTAACGGATCTTTGTCAGGTTTTCATTTTTGGATTCTTTAGACGAATCCCATAATAATTCATGGTGTAACTTGATTGTTGACGTGACAAGGCATGACCTGACATGACCTAACGTACGAAAACATGTCAGTACTCCTTCAGAGTTCTAGTTATTAATTTGTTTGTTAATTGGTTAATTAGTTTGTCATCTTGATTTTCTAAACCTTCTAAATCCACTAGATTTCACAATAACAGTCAAGCTTTTTGAAATTTAAGGAATGTGAGCTCAGCTGGTTATGAAGCTAGGAAGAAACTTCGTGAGTGCAGGGGCCTTGTAAATTCTTTAATACATACATTAAAGCTGGCTGCAGACAGTAAGGATGTAGACAATAAACCTGTGGAAAATGTTGTTTGTACACTTCGGAACCTCTCCTATAGAATTCAAGAAGTACAAGATCCAGACTTCTATAAGAAGAGATACAATACCTTACAGAGAATGGAAAGGGGAACAGAGAAGGGTAAGTATGATGTCTGTATTTTTATATGCCATGAACATTGGAATGTATAAATGGGATAAGATTACATGTACCTTGTTTTCTTTATTTGTCATTCAAAAGGAAAGAAAATTCTAATCTTGATCACCAATAAAATGAATATTCAATGTTATTTAATAGTTTGCCACGTGACTCTCCACCGTCTTAAACTCATGCAGGCTTGTTTTTGCCCGAGTAGATAGTCTCTCGTGCACATCGTTCAAAGATAGTTGTTACCAAACTCGTTTTTTCGGTCAATATTTATTGTTTTTTTTATAAATCAGTCTATTGGCTAAATTACAACGCGTTGATTATAACTTGTTGATTAAAAAGTCAATCAACTTACTTATCAATTACAATAACAGTCATATCATGTGGTTCATAATTCGAGTAATTAGCACATTTAACGGTAATTTTGATAACCCGATAAAAAAATAAAACAAGCATTCATTTTATACACATGCTGACAGAGGGTTAATTTTGAATATTGTTGTTATTATTGAAATATATGTCTTTATTCTAATTGACAGAGTAATGAAACCATGGTGTATATAGTTTCATTGCATTAGTACCTTGGCAGAGTTTGATAAGCAGAGTGATGAGCAAAATGATTGCTCATTGCTTTATATTGAGTGGGATCTATTTATTTCTGAACTTTAGGTAGGGGATATGAGCCTCACTATTCACTTGTTGTTATTTTAAAAAAACAGCAAAAATTTATTTATTATTTTTTGGGGTCTGTTTTTAAGATGAAAAATCTGGTTGTTTTGGTGGAGGAGCTGTTAAGAAAAAGGGACAACAGCAGAAAGGAGACAATAAAAATGGTCCTAATCAAAGGTAGGCATTGGAAAACTTACTACATGTAGCTATACCATTTTCATCTCATTTCATAAATATTGGAGTCAAATTATGACATACAATGAACAAGCATATTTTCAGCCGTGTGAAATTTCAAGTCATAAATTTGAGACAGATTTGCCAATCTGTAGTAGAGGTATAGATGGTTTAAGATTATCTACAAGGTGTATTAATGCTTAATACAGTTCTCAAAAGTTAGGACACACATGAACAATGTATAAATTTGTAGACAAAAGCTATCGTCCAATCTGCTTGAAAATTTAAATGTTAAAGGATGATGCCTATCAATAATTTCCTTAAATTAATTCACTACCTTATTTTCACTAGCAACAAAAGTAATCATGCATTAGGTTTGAAATTTAAATGCTTTGTTCAGATCAGATTAGAGAAACAAAGAATTCTATTAAATTTCATAAATTTAAACCAATGTCCATTAATCATTTCTAAAGTTATGGCCCCTTGTAAAATCGTGTTATTTACACCCTACTCCAGCCTAGTGCGGGTACTATTAAAATGGGTTCGTCTATCTGTCCGTCTGTCTGTCCGTCACACTTTTTGGGACCCAATAAATAACTCTTCTTTTTGAGCTAGACTGTTCAAACTTGGTGTAGGTGTTTATTAGGTCGATGCCTTGATGGAGTTCGAAGATGCGCATTTTCTGCTTAGGGTAAGCAGAGATAAGCAATTTGATTGGTTGATGCCTTGGGACACGATAACTAAGTTCTAATTAAGTGAGGGGGATGGATGGCCGAATGGTTAGCACAGGCGCGCTGAATCATAAAGGTGCATCATTGAGTCAACTGGCGTGGTTTCGATTCCTCGGTTGTATGTGACAAGGAGTAGGGTCGCCTGTCCAACCTTGTGGGTCCTCCGGTTTCCTCCCACTGCTAAAGACCCTTACACGCAAGCGAATTATTGAAATAAAATTGAACCATGTGTTAGTCCCGAAATGACCTAGTTTGTGCCCCACTGTTGGCTTGTATGGTATTGTCTATTGTGCCACAATAATTGTAGTTAATGTGTTAAGTAGAATGAATTGCTTTTGTATATAAGATTAATAATTGTGTATTTAATTATTTTCAGTAATTATGTCAAACAGCTTCCAGCAGTAGCACATGAATATAAAGCATTATGGGGAAATGAAGTGATACAGAAATATTTATCACTCATAAAGACAACTTCTAACCCCATCACTCTTGAAGCAGGAGCAGGTGCTATACAAAACCTTGTAGCATGTGATTGGCCTGTAAGTTTATTTTATTTCTTATATCTGTATCTCGTTTCTTATAGGCCCACATTGAAATGTTGTCATATCATATATTGTTATCAGTGTATATTTCTGATTCTGTTCATGAGCCGAAGAAGTCTCTTAATTCCCAATAGTTTCTGACAAATGATTACCTGTGCATAGAGGCTAATCAAATTTTAATTATTTCTGACAATTGTTACTCGGATTGTTGCCCTTGATAAGTTTATAGTCTTTCAAAGCCCCCATTATCCACAGCCTTTGTTAAATTCAGTCCTTCATGTTAATGAAATCATGCGGGAACCATAAATTTATTAAAAAAAACTCCTGCCATTTTCAAAAATGAGAAAAAAGCTCTCGTAAAAAAACTTTTCTTAATTATATGTTTGCTGAATATGGTAGTGTCAGAATTATCATCATGGAAACTGATAGGTCGAATGTATGCCGTTTGAAAATAAACAATAACGGAAAGTAGTTTATTAACCTAAATGTTTAGGAGAGCAATTTAGCTAATTTGTGGGCGGCTTATTTATTTTTATATGCCCCTTTTCCTGTGGACGTATATTGTAAGCGCACCTGTCCATTTGTAAACACTCTACAGGTCACAATTTTTAACCAATTTCGCCGAAAATTAAAATATAGGTTTATCTCCCAAAGATCTCGGTTCCTTTCAGTATTTGCATGTTTTCAACTTATGGACAATCTAGAGTTCACAACTTTTATTTGATTTTAAAAAAGTTCATTTGTCACTGTTAGTGTTACACCGTAATTACAGTTTATGCAAATAGTGTTAAAACATGTAATACCAAGGTTGTGAACCATCTAAAGGTCACAATTTTTATCAGATTTTGATGAAAAGATCTCGGTTCCTTTCAATATTCGCGCATATCGGACCGTAACTTCCAGGAATATGGCGCCTTTTTGCTTTTTTAGGTTTTTCTCTATCCATCTCTTGCAAAATGTGTGGCATATCTTGCTTGGCAACTGCTTGTTCTAATATTAATTTATCTTCAGCCTGCAGTAGAAATAAGAGCTAATGTGAGAAAAGAAAAGGGGTTGCCTCACTTGGTAGATTTACTTGCTTTTGAGAATGATAGAGTTGTATGTGCCTCAGCTACAGCATTGCGTAATTTAGCTATAGATGAAAGAAATAAGGAACTAGTTGGTAAGATTTAACTTTTTAACTCATCATTCCAGATGGAATGTGTTGAACCAATTCTAGCATTATGTAAGATTTAAATAAAGAGCTGACTGTTCTTGTTATACTAGTTTAAAAATTAAATGTATAAATAATAATTATAATCTGTGAAGCCAGAAAAAAGACATGCAATAGGCAGATTTAGCTCTTGCATAATGCAAAGATTTTTGGGATTGTCCATAAAGAAGGCATTTCTAGTAATTACAGATTTATGGCAAGATACAAAGCTGCTGGTAGGTACAATTTTCTTTACCTCTAAGCCTTCATTTTCAACATTCCAGGTAAATATGCCATGAGACAGTTAGTTAGTAAATTACCCCAAGATACCCGTCATTCAGAGTTAGTTCCACCTGATGATACATTGTGTGCTGTTATAGCCACCTTGTATGAAGTTGTGAAAAATAACCAGGACTTTGCACAGTGAGTTTTTTTATATGAAAACATTGAAGTGTGGTTGGACACTGCTGTTATTACCCATGTCTGTCCTTCCACTTATCCATCATACATAATTTGTTTTGAACTCTAAAGGGAATACATATTTATCCCCGAGGCAACCATCATCTGGAATTTCATTTCAAATGAGAGAGAAATCCCATACCATACATACAGGGAAAGTTTTAGAAATTTGTAAATATTTGCATTAAGCAATAAACTTATAAATATTTTATATGGATGAAATTTATTTCATTCATTTAAAACTGAATCTATTTTTAAATATCCTCTTCAAAAAAAGTAGGGGAGATTCAGAAACAATTCAAAACTACGGAAATGCACTGCTGTTTTTATTAGAGGTAACCAGTGTATGTTAATAACAGGCCAATTGCCTACACATGAACATAAACAGTTCATACGGGCGGCTTATCTCACGGCCCCATTTAACTCGCAAAGAGATACACCGTCAAAAGTGAAAATGGACATTTTTGATTTTTGTCTTAATAATGAGTAATTGCTCCACCAATCCTCAGACATTCAGCAATTTGTTGTGGCATGCTCCTAATCAACCGTACAATCACGATTTGGGGCAATCTGACCCACTCCTCTTGAGTGCCACGGCCAATTCTTGCAGTGTTTTCAGTTGACGTTGATGAACACGTCTCCCTATCAAATTAAATGTAACACTTATGCAGTAAATCTTATGCAAGAACCGATAAGGAAAGCAAATATGCATAGATAAACCAGCACGTGGCAGTTTCCATCAACCCTTCCTTGAAGTGACAAATTTGACAATGAACCCCTCCCACGTGTATGGCGCTATTGCATGTCGCATGTGCAGCTTAGTGGTTCTGTTGAGGCGATAAGTTCTTCATCTGTGAACATACTCTCAAAGCATGTCAAATGTCCATGACTATTTATCATATCACAACCTGCATAGGTATTTGCATTTCAATATCCCCTACTTTTTTTGAAGAGTATATAAATCAAACCACAGTACAGAGAAGTAACTCTAGCGACATACATGTATTTCATGTATTCACAAAATAAAATAAAAAGATTGTGAAAAAGCGCAATAAGATATTTTAAGTTAGTGGTAGTTTTAGTAGCATTGGGTAAATCAAAGATTTAAGTTATTAATATCATGTTAATGTTACTTTCAAAAGAATAAATATGAAAAAACATATGTGGACTGCTAGGATGACTTAGCTGCTGGGATGTATGTCATTGCCTATATAACCTGTCTTTGATTATGTTGTAAAATCCAAGGGTATGCTTTTAAACATTTATGTAATAACGAAGTTTATTTGTCGGGTGAACAGTTTTAAATCGACCTAATTGGAATGAGCGCATGTTACCTGTCAAAGTACATCAAGATTAAGAAATGAAATGCCAAGAATAAATGAATGTATATTCGTAAAAACTGTTAAATTTAGAATTGTAGTGTATCATCAAAAATACAAACATTCCAGGTAAACATCTATTCTGTTTCAGCCATGTATCATTTTCTTTTTTAACAGGTCACTGTTTACAGAAAATGGTGTTCCAAGATTAATGTCAATTACCATGTCAGAGGGAAAATACCTTGCTCGTACAATTAAATATGCTTCAACTGTAAGTATATATCCATCACTTAACCCTTTACCACTTGGTGCATGTAAATATTGACTACTCCATTAGAGAAAAGTGATATATTGATACCGGTACATCCCTGAACTGACAGAAACGGTTCGAAACTGCTGTTCCTTAAACTGTCTCCTCAAACCACCTGAGATATGTGAATAGTTTTCTGTATTATAAGACCATTTACTAGTTCGTAAGGAGCCCTAATAGAGCTGATTGGTTCGATCTAAGTGCTAAATAGTTAAACAGTGTTTGTCCCATGCCCTTTATCCATTGTCATTCTGTAAGCTGAGGGTTGTCCGTCTGTATGTCTACACTTATTATCTGATCTTTGTGTAATTTATAATATTTGATATTATTTTAGTTATAAATGTGGTAAATATTTTGTTATTTTACAGTCCTGAACAGTTTTGAAATAGAACATCACTGAAAAAGTCAAAAAAATTTTCCACAAAAAGTATAAATCAAAATTTCCATAAAAAAAAAAATGACCTTTCAAACCAATTTTGAATCTGTAAAGAATTTCGTAAATTTAGTGTCTTTTGGTTAACATGTCTGCATACAGAATATGCAAGATGAGGATACAAAGAAGCAAAGATAAGAAATTTTAATGTCTTTCTGTGGTCTGGATTGAAAATAAACCAATGTATTGTCTTGTTTTCTTTACTTGAAGGTTTTACGAACAATGTGGCAGTTCAAGGCATTACATGCAGAATATGCAAGATTAGGATACAATGAAGCAAATTTTATATCTGCATCAGCATTTCCAAGGTATGGTCTAGAATCAATAATAACACATAACTATTTTTCTATTAGATTATACATTTTTATACGCCCACATTTTCATGTGGACGTATTATGTCGTCGCCCCTGTCCGTCCGTCCGTCCACAATTGTTTGTGGACTCTCTACAGGTCACAATTCTTATCCGATTTTCACGAAACTTGAAATATAGGTTTATCCCCAAAAGATCTCGGCTGCTTTCGATATTGGCATGTATCGGATCGAAACTTCATGGATTATGGCCCCTGATTGTACGAAAAATCACGATTTTAGCTTGTGGACCCTATAGAGGTCACAATTTTTATCCGATTTTGTTGAAACTTAAAATGTAAGTTTATAACCCAAAGATCTCTGTTCCTTTCGATATTCGCACATATCAGACCGTAACTTCCTGAATTATGGCCCCCCTGATTGTACGAAAAATTGCGTTTTGGGCTTGTGGGTCCTATAGAGGTCATAATTTTTATCCGATTTAAAAAAACGTATTATTATATCACCGTTACACCCTAATGAAGGCTGAGTACAAATTTCATGAAAATCGACCCAAAATTGACAGACAAAATGGCCGCCGTTCGTTCTCAAATAGCGTAAAAATATGGTATATCAAGGTTGTGGACCCTATAGAGGTCACAATTTTTATCCGATTTTGTTGAAAATTGAAATGTAAGTTTATAATCCAAAGATTTCGGATCCTTTCGATATTCGCACATATCGGACCGTAAATTCCTGAATTATGGCTCCTGATTGTATGAAAAATCGCGTTTTTAGCTTGTGAACACTATAGAGGTCATAATTTTTATCCGATTTAAAAAAACGTTTTATTATATCACCGTTACACCCTAAGGAAGACTGAGTTCGAATTTCATGAAAATCGGCCCAAAATTGACAGACAAAATGGCCGCCGTCTGTTCTCTGATAGCGTAAAAATATGGTATATCAAGGTTGTGGACCCTATAGAGGTCACAATTTTTATCCAATTTTGTTGAAAATTGAAATGTAAGTTTATAATCCAAAGATCTCGGTTCCTTTCGATATTCGCACATATCAGACCGTAACTTCCTGAATTATCACCCCCCTGATTGTACGAAAAATTGCGTTTTTAGCTTGTGGATCCTATAGAGGTCATAATTTTTATCCGATTTAAAAAACTGTATTATTATATCACCGTTACACCCTGAGGACGACTGAGTTCGAATTTCGTGAAAATCGGCCCAAAATTGACAGACAAAATGGCCGCCGTTCGTTCTCAAATAGCGTAAAAATATGGTATATCAAGGTTGTGGACCCTATAGAGGTCACAATTTTTATCTGGTTTTGTTGGAACTTGAAATGTAAGTTAATAACCCAAAGATCTCGGTTCTCTCGATATTTGCGCATATCGGACCGTAACTTCCTGAATTATGGCCCCTGATTGTACGAAAAATCGTGTTTTTAGCTTGTGGACCCTAGCCTATAGAGGTCACAATTTTTATTCGATTTAAAAAAACGTATTATTATATCACCGTTACACCCTAAGGACGGTGTAGTTCGAATTTCGTGAAAATTGGCCCAAAACTGACAAACAAAATGGCCGCCCTTCGTTCTCAAATAGTGTAAAAATATGGTTATCAAGGTTGTGGACCCTATAGAGGTCACAATTTTAATCTGATTTTGTTGAAACTTGAAATGTAAGTTTATAACACAAATATCTCGGTTCCTTTCGATATTTGCGCATATCGAATTGTAATTTCCTGAATTATGGCCCTTGATTGTAGGAAAAATCACTTTCTTTTTAGCTTGTTCTCTATCCATCTCTCGAAAATGTAGGCGTATCCTGCCTGGCAGCCGCTGGTTTTTGTTGTGGGCACTCTAGAGGTCACAATTTTTACACAATTTTGATGAAACTTTATAAGTTTATTATCCAAAGATCTTAATTCCTGGATTATGGTCCCAGATTGTACAAAAAATCCTGTTTTTAGCTTTTGGTGCCTCTAGAGGTCACAACTTTTGTCCGATTTACAAAAACATTTAAATATTTCACTGTTACACCATGATAAGGGTTGTACGCAAATCTGATATATCTGATATAAAAAAAACCTGTTTAAATATATCACCGTTACACACTAATGATGGTTCAGTTCAAATCTCATGAAAATCGGACTGAAACTGCTTGACAAAATGGTTGCTACTTGTACGCAAATAATGTAAAGATATGTAATACCAAGGTTGTGGACCCTCAAGAAATCACAGTTTTTACGAAACTTAAAATATATGTTTATATCCAGAAGATCTCGGTTCCTTTCAATATTCATGTATATCGGACTGTAACTTGATTATGACACCTGATTGTACAAAAAAATCACTTTTTTTTTTAGCTTGTTCTTAATCATCTCTTGCAAAATGTGAGTGTATCTTGCATGGCAACCGCTGGTTACTCGACATTTCATTTTTAACCATTTCCTATAATTATTCTTGAGAACACATCGAAGGCTAACGTTTTCAACCGATTAAGTGCATTTTTAACGATTTCCGATAATTAGAAAAATCTTGTGGTTAAAGTTATCATTCGATTTACTTTAATTTGGTACACAGTGTTTATATTCATGAGATTAAGAATCTTATTGATTTAACAACTTTTTAATAGTATTATTTTTTTTTATTTCAGACCAGAAGGGAAAGGTTACCAGTCATCTAATGTTGTGAAAAGTCCAGCTGTTAGTAACCAAAGTACCCCATATAATACATTAAGTCGAGGAATATCTGCTCAAGGTTATGATGACAACACAATGTCGCATGGTCCGGTTAAGAAACTCCCAACCAACATTAATTCACCCTATTATGATGGCTATCATTCAATGTCTAATAGTAATTCAGCTTTGCATAAAGGTATTTATTGAATTTCTTTGAAAACATCAAATCCTTTCCAATAGCATGAAAAGATAAAATGCATAAACATTTCTTGTGCAAAAAATAAACAAAATACTGGTATTTATATTTCATGACAAAATTTCATAAAAAAAATAATTTGATTACAAATGGAGTAATTGCGCCAGCCTCCATGCAAAAATTATAATTAAAAAGTGTTATTTTTAGATAGTAATCTAAGTATCAGTAATAAAAACAAAATATGGAGGTTGATAATCTAAGTATTAAAAACAAAATATGGAGGTTGATAATCTAAGTATTAAAAACAAAATATGGAGGTTGATAATCTAAGTATTAAAAACAAAATATGGGGGTTAGTAATCTAAGTAATAAAAACAACATATATATGGTTCAGCTCAATGTTGAAAGATAGAAAGGAAAAATGTTTCCTGTATTAAAATTAGAAATCTATGAGTGGCGAGTAGCCATCCCAGACTTCTCTCATGAAACGACTAGTTTCATTCAGTTCATACTCATCAGGTTTAATTAATTGATGCTGAAACCATTTGGTAACTTACAGATTGCCATATCAGTTTTATGGCATTGTCCATTCTTGCAGCCATGTAGATAATGTATTAAATGCTAACTTCTTTTCATCCAGTGAAGTAAATCAGGTCACAAAGATTTTATAGAATTTATATATCTACAATGGTTTTAGATACAAATGATAATTATTAGTTAACCATTTTATACATAGAATGAAATTTTGATATGGTTGTCTATAAATATAAATCACATTATAGCAAATGTTTTTTTTTTTTTATGAAAATGTATAATTTTGAGAACCTAAAAAATCATTAACTTAGGTATATACTCTTAAGTATATAAAAATGATATTTTTCAGATTCTCATGTGCATTCTGGCAATGCAACACGGGTAAGACATTTATTTTTATAAACTCAGATTTTAATGTTTTCGTATATAATATCCCAGGGTTCTTAATCCATTTTGAAACAAACCCGCTAGAATTGGGCTAAATGAAGTACCAGTAGGAAATAGATTAATAGATTCCATACCCTTTAACATTTCCATTGGTAATTTGTTATGGGAATGTTGTGTTCTAATGTATGTGATTACCACAAAAATAACAACACATTTTACATATTTAATTCACGTACATGTCAGTAATATTCCAGAATAATTTACTGTCTTTGTTTATTCAATGAAACGTTTCATCAGTCAATCTAAAATATTAGCTTTTTCTACTATTGCCGGTATCCGAAAATACTCTAGCCAAAATAAGCTGATACGGCACCATGGTATTTCTTCATAACACAATTTGTAGTATTTGTTTATCACGTAACTTGCAAAAGTTTTTATTCATTCGTCGTTGATAGACAGACGGCACAATGACCATGTGACAACCGTAATTGAAATTGCTTTAAAATAAGTTCCGTACGACTATGCCATTTAGAATAATGACATTATTTTTAAAATTAAGCCTCAATCAGCATGTGTATAAAATAAATAATCATAACATTAAACGCTATTCAAAACTGGTTTATTGACCTAATACCAATGCAAACCCTGTTTTTTTGTTCCTCGTACAAATTGGCTAGATTAAACATCAATCGGCTAAAGCCAACAAAAATCAACCGATTAGGAACAGTGTAATATCCCCTTAAGTTATGCACCTTGATTATGAGACATTATAGCTATGCTTCAAACAACAAATTTCTAATACTCAGAATTTTGAAGTGTTCATATGTTGTCTATTTGTGTTGAACTTCATTCTATGGAATAATTTTAGCGGTTGTCATCTATCTATGCCAATGTTACTTACAATACTATATTTATTTGCTAGGGTGGTGATATTCCAATGTCAGATTTAGGGCCTTCAGCAGGTTATGTATATACAGATGAACACAGGGTTGCAACACCAGTTTTATCGAATTTACCACAGGTAAGTAAGAATAGCAAAGCACTGAATAGTATTACAACTGGTGAAAACAAAGACCGTCTGATTTCTTACAATGTTGGTGATGTGGGTCTTTTCAGTGGGTTTGTGTTATTGGTTTTTGTATTAATGCGTTGTGGGTTTTCCTAGACTTACCATTACAGCATATCCTAACTAATCCCCATTAATCCCTAGTTGAGTTTACTGACTGCAAGGATGCAACAATTCCTTACAAGACACCTATCTGACCCTTATATATGAGAAATACAGAGGTTTGTAAGATTCTATATGTTTGTTGATAAACGTTTTATAGTTTATAAATTAATAAAGATGCTGCTACTTTTTAAAGTTAGGCAGTTTGATTATCATTATTACATTATTTACTTTAAATTTCTTTATTTCAGATAAATTATCCAGATAATGGTAGAAATATTCCAAACTCTGAACCCTTATATGCACAAGTTAATAAAGATAGACGAAGACAGGATAATTATGATCATTCCATTCCATTAGATTCTGATGGAGCAAAGACAGCAGGGGGTGCTGACTCTTGGGTCTGAATATTCACTCAGTAACCAGCAATAAAAAAAAATGTTATTGATAAATATTTAAGGCAGCCAAGTTCTATGATTAGCCATTTCTTGTTTTAAAAAATGAGAAATAAATTAATTACTAACAACTATGATTAGATAAAGTCTGATATTATCATGACAGCTGTAATTGTAAAAATTTTATATTTTTATTTTGTACATGAACGAGTTTGTACCATTCATATTTTATTCAACTTTGTTATATACTATGTAAAATAAGATTTTAACTAACAGTTTTTATAAGCTTATATTTAACTGCGGCAATATTGCCATCAATCCTAGCTAGGACACACAAAAAGATTCCATCACATAAAACTATTAACCAACTTTTGTAAGTTATTTGTTGTGGAGAATATTAAAATTATGTGGCCTTGATCATTATATTAGTAGGAATCTGTTAATCTAGTATGTAAATTAGGATTTATTAATCAAAATTAAACCTACAGCACTGTTCCATTAATATTTATAAGTCCACATTCAACAAGGTTATAACTTCCAGAGTTATTGCCTTTGATTACTTTGTAGAACCTTGTGATCGCTCCCATCCATGATAAAAAATTATCCGTTTGAAATTTACAATTTCAACCATTTCTGTTTGGAGTTTTGTAGATTTTTGTCAACCTGCCAATGATATTTTACAGGTTAAAATTTTACTTTTTATTCACTTAAAGATTTACAACGCAACAACCATGTGGACGGATTTTTAAAAAATTGGCTGCTGCGGGAGAAGGTTTCATTCACCTGGCAACCTATATTTATTAACAAGGCCGAATTTAGATGATGTAAATTACTGAAAGAGTCTGAAAACAATCAGAATCATATTTATTTTTACTACTTAAATCAAACTTTATAGAGTGCACTAGGAACTTATAATAGTGTTTCTGGTAATTTCTAAAGATTCTGCATGTTACCAGCCTGCCAAATCTATCTTGTTTATGATCATGAGATGAAGAAGCCTATGATAACTGGAACCGCTAAAGTTATCTAATTTCCAGTACAAATTTTGTTTATGTTAGTGCTATGTCGAACAAGAACTAATGATCTATCAAATTTTAATTATTTATGGATTTTTGCCCATGCTTCCATTACCCACCAAAAACATGTGACCACCTTTCTGAACTGCCAGGACTAAGATATGTTGAATCTTACTTTTTATGAGACTGCATAAACGATGTATTATCTTCCTAGACCTATATATGCAGTCTAATAAAAAAGCAAAAACTATTCAACAGTTTCATGGCCTAATTGACCATTAAAAGTAGAAAGGAAGGTGGCCCAAATGAAATTCAAAAGTTCACCTTATATTAATCATGCATTAACCCTGCATTTATTTTATATTAGTCAAACTTTCTCCAGAGAATGTTTCACATGAATGTATTTGATCAAAAATATGGTTATTACATATCACAACATGGTTATCAATTGGTGTATATAATTTACATTGATTTAAATGCTTATTGTATTATACATAGTTTTCTTTTATTTGATAAAACAATCTAACTAAACCAGGCAGATGGTGTTCCTTTTGATCTGTGCTTCATGTCAATATGTGGAAGTATATGGTTTTCAATCTCGTCTTTTTGTTGGATTCACGGTAACACGATCAAGATGTTCTCAACCAAATTCCTGTCTTATTAGCTTGGGGTTGGTGCAGAAAAGTGGGTCGTTAAACCCTATTTCTTTTCACAACCAACTGTTGGGAGCTAAGGATCAGTGGTGATAACGATGAAGTAACTGTTAATAAATGCCCTTTGTATAGAAATTCTAAACCCAGAATAGAACATGGCAAAATGGGTTTTTTTAATGCCAGGGCTATAATTGTGACATTGAGTGAATTATGGATACATTTGGATGATATGTATAAGGTCTGGCTTCAAGAAAATACTTGTATATGGTCATTTTAGGAGGGTTTAAACTGATAACCAGGGAATACGATTCCATGTAGAACTAATTAAAGAAACCGACCATGATCGTACATCGGCAGAATATATCGATTTGTCGCCATGTTCACCTTTACACAGTCGACCAAAGACAAATCTGATGATCTAGCAACATTTTCAACTTTATATAATCAATTTTTTACATACAGGTCGTTTTTGATGTTTTCTGTCGAATAAGACCGGGACACATGCGATCTGGCCTCAATTTCATGGCCGCCTTTGAAATATTAGACTTTTTGGACCATTTTTGTCTTGTAAAACAATAATTGAACCACTGGATATCTTAGACGAACGAAAGTCCCACCGATCTTTGATTTAGGATTGGCAGAGGCAATCAGTCGTCCAAGACATACAGACAAGTGTCATAAGATTGACCGTACCAGGTCAATTGGTGAGATTTATCTGTAAAAATAAACATGGTGGGATCAATACATTTTATAAAATAATATCACTTTACAGAATTAAAGAGAGGGTAAACCATGGGTCTATTTCACAATTTAAACCACTTCTATTTGTCGTAATATGCATTTACAAATTGTACTTCAGTGACGTTTCAGCATGTACTTTAAAATACAGAAAAAAAAATGGTGATTAACGTCCTACATTTCGGCACCGTCTGGGCTAAAGAAGACGGGTGTACGCCATATACAGTGTGCTATGATATTTTGCCCGAACAGTGGCGCTGCCACGCTACGGCCTACTCTTGTATTGAATTCCAACTGTCAATTTAATGTTCTTATACGTGTACACGAGAAATCGGCTTTTCGTGTCATCCGAACAACTAGACGCCGTCTTTGCCAGGCCCCCCGTTCTGCACGGCCGACAAGGGGAAACCACGCTGGAAAGCCACGGTGAACTTTCTCCACCATCAACGTGATCAAACTCGCAGCTTCCCCTTAAAAACGAAAAGAAAATATTGAAAATCCTTGCTAGTATGCTAGTATAGAAGTTGGAAATCTGCAATCTATCTAAATTGGATCTTGTGGTGCCAAAATAATATAGATAGAGATTAGAAAACAAGGAAATCGCATATATTAAAGCGGAAATTGCAAATTTTTAAGTTATATTTTTAAAATTTATTAAAATAAAGCCTGAAAATAGATGGTATCCATAAACAGTCCTACCTTGGTTAAGAATAATCCTATTAATCCTATAATTCACTATTGCCAGCTGAGAAATTGGCAAAAATATCATTTTCCTCTTCATTTTCAAACGTTTGAAAAAGCTACTCCATGGTGGAGAATAGAAAACAAGGGAGGTAATTGGGATGTAATTGTGTTATTATTTCCTGTGTAAATGAGTTGTAAGTGTGAGAATGACACCTATGATCGTATAATTGTGAGTTGACAACCTATTGAGCAAAAGACATAGAAATAATAACGTTTTGACTTTCTTAGAAAATTTGCAATTTCCGCTTTAACGAATATCGATTTTCAAAATAAACACCGCATTTTAGCAAATATTAAAAACTGTGAAATAAATTGTATTTTAATTCAAGTAAGTAATTCAAGTAGTTTTTCGTATAACAAAATGATCCTGTAAAGATATCTTAGTTATTTATTCAAATGGGAACACATCAATAACAACACATTTGTACACTTATGGATGTTTAATCTGTAATCAACGGTACAAAGTCAGAGGGGTCAAAACCAAAAGTACGACACAGATGTCAGTAGCGCGTGTGTCCTCCACGGGCTCCTACGCACGCTGTGCAGCGACGTCGCATGGAATTTACCAATGTTTGAAAGAAGGCCTGGGGCAAATTGTTCCATTCTTGGACAAGAGCAGCTTCTAAAGCAGCAATGGCGTGCATCTGTAGTCTCCGATACAGACGGCGTCCAATCTCATCCCAGACATGTTCTATCGGTGCCGTGTCCGGAGACGCAGCATCTCTGCAAGACGTTCCCCAAGACGTCTCCACACACGTTGACGGCCATCGGCGTGATGAAGGTGAAAGCGACTCTCATCACTGAAGAGCACACTTTGCCAGTCTACTCTTCTCCATGTCTGGTGTCCTTGAGCCCATATCAAACGCCGCTGACGATGATGATCCCTGAGGATAGCTCCAACATAAGGTCGTCGTGCACGGAGTCCTACTTCTCTTAGACGACGTCTTACGGTGTTGGCACTTACTGGTCCTTGTCTTCCGATTAGTCACTGGGCGGAATCTGTCACGCAGATGAGTGACCCGGATGTAGCGGTCTTGAGCCTGGGTTGTAACGCGTTATGGACCAGGACGTTGACGGTCACGTGTTGATCCAGTAACTCGAACACGTTCCACCAACCTTACAATAGTGGACTGATGACAATTGAAGTGTCTGGCAATAGCACGTGTAGACATGCCAGCCCTGGACATTCCCATGGCTTCATTCCGTTGATTTTCAGTAAGTCTCGGCATCTCTAGTTCGATTCCTTCACACGTCCAACAACAAATTACGACAGATTGACGTTTCACAGTTCATGTACTGCACATTAAGTTGAAAACACGCTTTTAAAGGTCTCACACAATGCTGCACGTGAATATTGGGTTTTTCATATGCATCTCGTGCAATTTTTTTTTTTGCACACGGGCCGATATTTTTTGCGTTTGGGAGCATTGTGTGAAACAATAGTTCATAGTATTGCATAATATTATACATACAAAACCACCTAATAATAAAATATTTGGGAAAAAAAAGTGATGCGTTTTCCATGGCGCTCAGTATACATATACAACTAACATTAATTTTACAATCTGGTTTGGGTCACAAATATTCAATTACTGGGCTGTCTACTCAGTACTTACCCCCAAAATAAAGCGACAAAAGCACATCATTTCCCAAACATATGTATATCAAGATTGTCAATATTAGTAAGCTACATTGAAGAAAATGGTTTTAGATTTACTCAATTTGTAGAGATTATGAAATCATTCAAATTTTAGATATTATGACGTATTCTGTTGAGTATTCTGGTATTCATATCTACAATATGCCTTGATAAAGTACTATGGCTTGTTTTGTTTGGGTTTTTTGGGGGTGGGGGTAAAATTAGAATATTTATGTGAAACTATAGCAAGACATAATTTACAGCAAAATGTGTCTGTGATGTGAACGAGAAGTGTATGTCTAATGCGACCGCAGGTTATTTCAGGAAACATAATGATGCTGTTCCGGAAGACTTTGTGTCACTAGTTGACAAGGATAAACAAGCAGGGTCCTACCAAGATATGAAGTCGATAACAAATAAAGGAACCTTAGAGGAATGTTTGTTCAAAATGGATTTCCATAAAACATTTCACCTGTACATGACAAATTGGCAACATGTTCGAGATCCAGCCCGCGCACTCGATGGTCTATCAAAATGAGAACCTTTGTTTCACTATTGTCAGCGATAAGCTGCTATTGTCACTTCGAACATATCTCATATCATTATTGATAACTTCCACACCGTTCAGATTTTTTCTGGCGAATTTCTTAACCGGGTAATTATGCTGTTTATTTATATAACAGGTGAACGAAGAAGTTTTTTTTTTGGGGGGGGGGGGGCATAGAGCACATCAATTAAAATATTTCCACGAATTATTAAACAAGATAAAATTTCCGTTTAGCCTTTATTGGACCATTCTTTAACAGTAACGGTGGTCTTTGATTTCTCAACTATGGATTATTCTTTGTGTTCGTTGATATTTTCCCGCATTCCTGTTCATGTACCTTGGAAGGATAATGCTGTCGCCCTCTTTGAAAAGGAACCACTATGGCTCAGTGACTAAGGCGCTGGCTCACAAACCAAAAGATACCCGGTAATGATCGAGAACGTCCCCCTCTCTCTTTGAAGCATCTCTACGTTTACACCGAAAAGAAAAAAAAACAGCGCCCCACCCCCGACTCCCAGTAGATTTGCTAGTGACATCAGCAAATAACATACCAAATGGCCTTTCACTGTATAGTTTACGAAGACTATGCCCATATATTTGTTTTTTTTATACGAAGCAATTAAGCGATTTACAATATTTGTCAAGCTTTTTAATAAAACTGCGATGAACTTAATTTTTGTGTTTGATTACTACACAGTCCAATACCGCTTTTTACTCTCAGGTATGCTTCAGCAATTAATCTATCCTTCGGTTTAAGATTTAATAATCAAGGAGCTTCGAACCCGTTTTGTTAAGTTTAACATAGGAACCTTACCTGGAGTGGAAAAATCCAAAACGAAACTAAAATATGGTCCAGATATTTACAAGGCGATGTGTCGCACAAGCATTGACGACCAGCTGTTTCCGATGAAATATTGTTAACAGACCGACACGTGGCAACTATCCCGATATGTAATACACGCGTTTTTACACGAACATATATTACTACATGTATGAGAAATAACTACAACTACAAAATCAATATAATTGTAATGATATTAAATAAAATAAGGTTTACTGTATAATTGTGTTAAATTCTAAGATTGTTTGTTTTTATTCATGTGTAAGCCGATTTCTTCACAAATTACATAGTTTTATGCTGACCCAAAAAGTGCGCAAGGTAACAGAGCAGCGGGACGATTTTGAACAATATAGGCCCTACTGATGAGATCTATCGATAGTTATCTCATTATTGCGATCATGAGAATGAGACGGGTTTAATGTCCTACCTATCTGAATGACAAACCTTATGACAAAATAAAATAAAACAAAGAGAAAAGAAAATGAAACAAGCAACCCATTCTATTACCCTCTTTAATCATAACTGTTAGAATTTAGTACATCATGTTTATAATTATCAATATATTTATAGATATGGTCTCCCTGTCAACTTCCAAGCCATTGTAATTCATCCTAATAAAAGATCCAATAAACGTTTAAGAGATGTTTTGAATCAGTTTTATAGTCATCTAGATACAGCTTTATCACATGTTGAGCATGTCCAAAACAAACGCCAAGGTTCTGCGATCTGGGGGAGGGGGGGGGGGGGTCACGGCGCCTAATTAAGTGGGTAAGACGCTGCCTCGCAAGATTGGAGGTTGGATGTTCGATCCCTGTATTTGCCGAGAAAGTTCATCCAGATTTTCCGGCATAGTTCCCCCTTGTCAGTGATGCTGGACGGAGGGCCTGACAAGGACAGCTGTCTAGTCGTTCGAATAGTACGAAAAACCATGGTCCCGTAACCCGTTTACACATTGGCGTGCACGTAAAAGATCGCTTGACAGTTGGAATTCGATATAAGAGTAGGCCGTAGTGCCGCTGTCCGGGCAAAATTTCCTTCATGGCACACTGTATGGCGTATGTCCGTCTTCTGCGAGTCTTCATGATTAGCCCCGTTCGGAGCAGAACAGTAGGACGTTAAACCCCATTTCATTTCATTTCATTTTCTGCGATCTGCGTCAGTTCAAGGGTTTTCTTAAAGGTAAGTAAAAATACTTAATTTTCCCACTTAACCAAAGGCTCTATTTTACATATACTTGGCTATGTGAAAAACTTAACTGCACACTTAAAATATGGAATGCCCACATTAGCCAAAAAGAATGAAGTTTTAACTTATGGAATGCCCTCCACTGCCATAAGTCATGAATTACCCACGTAGCATATAAGTTAAAGTTATTCCCCCTTAAGAGCACCACGTTGATATTACCATGCAGGAAAATGTTTTCCACAGTATTATATTCTAACGCATGAAAATAGTATGACTATGAATTATGATAAATTATGATAGTACGCATCCGTTGCCGGAACAGTTTTTTTCGTAGATGTTTTTCAAAAACAATATATTTCAATAGTTATCGACTTGTGGTAGTATAATGATAGATATTGTAGACTAATTATTTTAACAATAAAATAAAACCAAGTACGAACAATCCCAACCATTAGTCAAAATTCGAAGTCCTAAAAATGGTATCGGGAAAATAGTGTAATCAGCAAATGGACTGTTCACCATGTACAAAATATATGATGAACATTGCAGCAGGTGTCGGGAAAAGTAAGCTTAGGCTGCCTGGCGCCACACCCGCAATAGCTGCATCCGAATCATTAGAAGAAATCTCGGTAAAATAGCTTTATCAGCAAATGGACTGTCCGTATGCATAATACACATGATGAACTGCAGAAACAGATGTCGTAGACATAATCAGGAAAATAGACGCGTCAATTAAATATATCTAGAATAATAGCCGAAAGATACCATAAATAACGAATAGAAAACAACATTTAGCAATAAGCCATGGCGACTTGCTATAAAAACCAGGCGATTCAAAGTTCATACATCAGTGTGTATGATGATCATCTTGAAATTTCTAAAAATCTGACCAGATTAGTCACCGTGATCACGCGGTAGCAACCCACGTGCAGGCGCGACGCACGTAGAAGACGTGTGTTAAGCGTGGTTAGAGTGCCGCGAGTTTGCCGTTGCCAAACTAATAGGAACGCGCCGTGAGAAAGCGGTATAATCGCACATGGTAAGAACGCGACTTTTTTCAAGTTTGTAATTTTTTGGCACATTTTCTCGCGTTGTGTTCAAGTTCGCCGGCGACCTTGTGCATTTTTCTGGTCGCCTTACGGTCGCAGCAGCGCAGTAAGGATGCCGCCCGGTCGCAGTTTATCGCCTCTTCCATATGTGCTAGGTATTAGTATTCTAAGCATCCTGGCATAATTTTTAATTTTTTGGACCACAGGAACAGTGCCGACTAATCTATCCTAGTTGGGGGTCGTGTTATTTTGGGCGTGTCTGTTAGGGGCAACCCACCGCACAAACTGTCTGGCAGTGGTCACTCATGATTCCTGTGGTGGTACTGAACAACTCCAAAGCTGTTTTAGGTGGTACAGATTTGAGCTAATCTAACCTAGCTTTGGTCTGGAAATTAGATAACTCTTGTCAGGGATACTCCATCACTGCAAATGTCTGGCAATTACATAGCTCTGTCAGGGGTACCCCACCACTAGAAATGTCTGTCAGAGTGTTTTGTAATACCTGAAGATGTACGGTACATTGCTGTGCGATTTTCATGTGGTACACTTTTGAGCTAATCTAGAATAGTTGGGGGGCATGGCATTTTGGGCGTGGAATACCACACCCACCACCAGAAACCCGGCAGACTTACATTCTGATGATACCAGATATACATACATTGATACCATATAGGAGAAAATTGGTACACTTTTCAGCTAGGTTAACCCCCTGGGCTCCTTGCCAGGCACCCAGTCCTGCACCACTAAAGATAGGTTGCCGTGCAACGAAACATACGCCGACAGCAGCTAAGTCGTCCGGGCAGTCAACAAGAGTTGTCGCATATTTTTTCTTTTGTCGGTAATGAAACATTTATAACACACTAAAATCTGATTAAGAGTATAACAATTCATTAAGTAATTATACGAAAATCATTAGAAATTGTTTGGCGTTTAGTTCTGCCCCCTGGTAACATTAGTATACGAAACATTTAATATCATGGATTTAGCTGTTCAAGTTATCCAGATTCATTGAAAATCAATATACATGTACTTGTTCGTCTCATGGCAAGTCATAGACGGCATACAACTGTACACACAGACTAGTCATAGACACGTAGAATGACTAAAACTAAATAAAGAAAAACACAGCTATGAACTTATTTTATTGCAGTGATTCGAATTTCATCAGTCAAATAGCTGGCTTCTTTAGTGAATAATTCTCTTAGTGTGCCGTTCAAAATTTCGCGGTACACCGGTTGAGAATCACTATACTACTCTGGAGCATCACAAGATGGACATAACTCTGATAGTAATTATCGGAAATCATTGAAAATCAATAGGCTTCTTCGTCTCACGACCTTAAACACTGTGTATAAATTTAAAGTCAATCGGATATTAACTTTAGCCTCTAGATCGTCCACAAGATATTTCAAAGAGATCAAGGGTCATAACTCTGGCAGTAATTATCGGATATCATTGAAAGTCAATAGGTTTCTTCGTCTCATGACCTTATATAAACACTATGTATTATATAAATCCAAAGTCAATCGGATATTAACTTTCGTCTCTAGAGCGTCCACAAGATATTTCAAAGTGATCAAGGGCCATAACTCTGGTAGTAATGATCTGGAAATCTCATGACCTTAAACACTGTGTATAAATTTACGGACCAACGGGGGCGACGACAATATACGACCACATTACAACGTGGGCGTATAAAAAGGGGAAATCAGGTTGGAAATCACGGGCTCCCAATTTTTCATTGAGTCAAAAGAAGAACAGTAGTGAATGTTATTACTACAAACACAGATATCTCCATGACGGTATTTTCATACAGTACAAAGTTTAAATATGGGATTTCTTTTCTTTTTAAATATTTTAACCCATTCTATGTTTACAACATTACTCATAGCTTGATTTATGCAACATTTCTTATTCTAATTTTATTGGACCTCAATGTCGACTTTTTGACCCAAGTTTACATTTCTCAACTTGACAATTTTGACCTGATGGGATTAAAAAAAAATCCTTACTCGACGCCTATTTGACATGGTTTTTCCCATTCCATATCAGGGTTAATAAAATTTTAACTCATTTGGATATTTAACCTAATACAACAATTGTGTCTGACTGGGGATCACGGTGGCTAAGTTGGTAAGACACTGGCTCGCTAGCCTGGGGGTCGGGTGTTCGATCCCTGCATTGGCCGAGAAAGTTCAACCAGATTTTCCGGCGTGGTTCGCCTTGTCAGTGATGCAGGACAGAGGGCCTGACAAGGACAGCTGTCTAGTTGTTCGGATGGGACAAAAAACCGAGGTCCAGTGTACACATTGGCGTGCACGTAAAAGTTCCGTTGACAGTTGGAATTCGATATAAGAGTAGGCTGTTCGAGCAAAATTTCCCTCTTAGCACACTGTATGGCATATGCCCGTCTTCAGAGCAGAACAGTAGGATGTTCAACCCCAACCCCATTTCATTTGGTGTCTGACCTTGTGGACAGAGAGAGAGAGAGAGAAATGGGGTTTAACGTCCACTCGACACAAACTAGGTCATTTTGGGACTAACATATGGTTTAATTTTATTTCAATAATTCGCTTGCGCGTAGGGGTCTTTAGCAGTGGGAGGTGCGAGGAAACCGGAGGACCCAGAGAAACCCCACGAGGTTGGACAGGCGACCCTACTCCTTGTCACGTACAACCAGGGATTCGAAACCACGCCAGTCGACTCAATGACAGACTTTATGATACAGCGCGCGCACGCTAACCATTCAGCCATCCACCCCCCCCCCAGACAGATAGAAGTGATGACTTTGTAGACCACATTTAAATGGGGATATAAAAAATAATTATCAACAAAGCAAATATTTAACAATACTATGAAATTGACAATACTTTATTTTGGTTATTACACGTTCGCCATATTTATATAGAGTCGGTTTGACTCACACTTTGCACAAACATCATGTTTACAAAATGAAACCATGTTTCAGCAACTATAGTACCATAAATTTTGTGTCATTAAGAAACCCCTTTTTGCAACTAAACCTATAATTGCATACACTTAATTCCAGCTTTTCAAAATGTAGGGCCTATACTTTGTTTTTCTAATTTTAATCTTCTCAAAACGAAAGATCAAATTGTGAAGTGGTAGACATTCAGGTAAATTTCAACAGGTATTCACAATAGTATGTACTAAACTAATCAAACAGGAGGCTATGTTCATCAATATTTCTAAAGTAGCACTATTTAAACTTCTGATCATGTTTCTTCATAACTTACATATATTTTAAAAGATGATTAAAACAGCAAAATTATGTTACAGATATATAATACAGGCTATCATAAGACACATCAAGTTCTAATATACAGAAGCAAGCTTCAGCTCTCCTGGTCTTGTCTACAATATCATTTTTGTGGAAGCAGACTCTAAAGAACCAAGGTACTTACACACTAAGCTTGCATAAATCAATCAGTATCTAACCCACTAGAAGGAAAAAATAAATACAAAGTACAATATGGGCGTATAAAATTCTGTCAACAGCTCTGATCTGAAATTACCAACATGTAGACCTACAACTGACGAGGGACTATGGAGGATAACAATATACATACATATTATATATGGGAAGGACACCAGACACTGATGATGAGAATATACACACAACTACATTAAATATTGATGTATAAAAATCAAATAACATTGTTCATGTTAATAATCCTCTTAGGGAATTTTACAACCAGCACAAACACAAAATGACCTACACAAAGATTGAGCTCAATGTATTGGTTGACTAGTTTTCATATAATTTAATTGCATTTACATTTTATTAGACTATTATTTGTACAACAGGGACTAAAAATTGCAATTTATATTATTTTAGTTCTAGAGTAAAGTAGAAATTTGCCATCCATGTGCTAGAGACTGTAGCCTAATATTGACGAGAACAGTAAGAAATATCTATTATTTTCTGGAATGTTTGTGGAAATATAGTAATATATTGTATATGGAATTCAAGTATAAAGTAAATACAAAGACGGTTATTATTTCTATTCTATAAAACTGTGTTATATAAATATTGAATATATTAACGAGGCTCAACTAAATCTAGTAATATTTTATAGGAAACATAGGGATAATAATCTGTTCCACCCATGCTTAATCCTGGTATATCCATATCCTAAAATATAAAAGAAATCAGTAATTATTTTTTACACGGTTTTAACACAAACAAGAACCCAAGCTGTCAAATCACACATTAATATTTGCCATCCTTTATGTTGACAGTGTACCATTATTTCAAATATTGTACAGACAACGTGCCAATCATACATTTAGATCAGAGGCTCAGTGAAAGTGGGGAGGGGGACACGGCATACAGACTGGAGGCCAACCATGAAACTATACAATTGTTTTTTGGACAACTAGTTTCATTACGTATAGCAATCGTCATACAAACCAAATCGGAGAGATTTCAATTTGACAGTTTTTAAATATTTTTGAAACAGGTTTCAAAGTGTTTTGGTCCTGTTCTGCAAGATCTTTTTCGATTTGACACCTTTTATGTATTTTTGATACAGGTTTCAAAGTTTTTTGGTCCTGTTGTGCAAGATCTTTTTCAACATTCTAAAGTAAACGTACGGTACTAAGACCCCCTACAGATAAATTTTAAATGTTCATATTATTAATTAGAACAGGTTTTTCTTCAATCTGATTAAAACACAGATCCTATTTCGTTTTATTATTTTATAGTTCAAAATTTTGTTTTACTTGTCTTCACAACACTAGGATCTGGAAGAGTTGTTATATAACAGGATTTTAGTTGATGTGAGGAATTGGCCAATGAAACGGTCTGTTACGGCGATTGATTAATCAATGTCTGACGTCATAGAGTCAAAAGCTGCTCATATGACCCCTGACGCCACCTCACAGTACAACAGGTCAGATCTTCATGTAGTGTAGGCCATTGAAAGTATAAAAAAACGAAACGAAATATAGATCTGAATTTTAATCAGATTGGTTTCTCTTTATATTTTAAGCAGACGTGTATTGCGTTAAATCTTCCTACTGCAAAAACAGAAATTTGAATTTAGCAAGTTTACAATTTTATTGAAAGAGTGATTAGTTTTGATCATTTTCAGCATGTTTTCATGATACAAGAATGGCTGCATATTCATTTCAGTGTACAAGACCTCATTTGACCTTTGACTCCGAATATCTTGAAAGCACCCCAACGGAAGACTGATTACCACTCGGCATCGTATTCTACACATATACTATAGGAAAGTTGGGTCTGGTTTTGTGCCCATTTGATGAACCCACGCCCCTCTGCACTCAGCCTCCAGACTAATTATTTATACTAGATGACAATTCAACTCATGTGACAAATTTATTGAAAGGCATATCAGGATTCGACTTTGTTCATCCTTTCACCTTAATGAACAATCCCACTGAGTTTTCATTATTTTTAGGGAACATATACAAAGGAAATATATTAACATATCAATGTATTTACTTACATCACCACCTTGTGATAAAGCTGTATTATCTAGATGACTATACAACTGATTCAAAACATCCCTTAAACGTTTATTGGATCTTTTATTAGGATGAATTACAATGGCTTGAAAGTTGACAGGAAGACCATATCTATAAATATATTGATAATTATAAACATGATGTACTAAATTCTAACAGTTATGATTAAAGAGGGTAATAGAATGGGTTGCTTGTTTCATTTTCTTTTCTCTTTGTTTTATTTTATTTTGCTATGCTTTATTCTATTTTGTTGTAAGGTTTGTCATTGAGTCAACTGGCGTAGTTTCGATTCCACGTTTGTACGTGACAAGGAGTAGGGTCGCCTGTCCAACCTCGTGGGTTTCCTCCCACTGCTAAAGACCCCTACACGCAAGCGAATTATTGAAATAAAATTAAACCATGTGTTAGTCCCGAAATTACCTAGTTTGTGTTGAGTGGACATTAATCTCTCTCTCTTCTATTTTGTTTGTAGTGCTTTATTTCATTTTATTTATGTTTTATTTTGTTTGCTTGTTCTGTTTATTTTAGTTTGTTATAGTTATATTTTATTTTCTTCCAAAATAAAACACCAGCAGCATTTGGAGAACTACATACAGGGCCTGACAAATGTTACAAATTTCTGAATTTGTGACAGTGTCTTAAGTCTGACTGCTAATAGCCAGAATGAATTAAATAAATCACTTTTACCAAAACCTAGAAAAAGATTTGATCCCTTTAGTTTTGAAATTTACAATGCTCCTGTGTGTTTTTGTCTGTATCGCTGTTGTTCGTGTTACCCCATAAGCTAGCCATCTAAACAGTTCAAATTACTAATTAACTTAGTGCTTATGATACATATAATCTATTTATTAATGACCATACACAATATTGTACAAAGTTGGCAGGGGCAATAACTATAGAGGTAATTATTAAAAATATTCAAATCTTTGTCGCATTACTCTGAATAATGTTGTTAAAACACTTATATACCTCAATACAGATTCAACAAACACTCTTAATGCCTTCACGTGAATCCAAGCAGCAAAGCATTCACCAAAATTCACTTTTAACCATTTTACGAGTGGACCCTAGAATGATAAAACAGAAATTTGCATATACATTTAGAGAAATGTTTTGAAGAAATTCACAGAATCTTTAAATAATTAGTAGCATCCATAATGGTTTAGGGTAGTAATGATGGATAATTGACGCACAAAAACAAAACAAAGATTGAAAGTGTGATATGTTTTGGAAAGAGTAAGCAAACCCTGTCCATTTGTCTGTATATAAAGCATCGCTATGCAGTGTGCTATCTAGAAAATTGGCCCGGACACTGGTACTACAGCCTATGCTATTTCGAATTCAAAGTGTCAATAATTCTTTTGTCAGGCCCACCATCCTACATTAGTGAAATAGTGAAACCATACTGGAAAATCAAGTGCCTGCGTCTTGCCTACTGAGCCATGGTGGCCTCAAAAATAAACAGACTATACTGATGCTCTGTATGATTTACCCTGGTTTACACAGTAAGATTTCACTATATAAATCTAATTTAAAGAGGATACTTACAAATTGTTTCTTTTTATCTGCTTCTAGTTTAGTTAATTCTGTTTTACCCGATTGAATTTCTTCTTCACTGTAGGTAAAGTCTCGTACACTAAATCTAGGAAATAATTATAAAACGTGTAAGATATGTTGCCATGGATTAACTGTCACACAAAATAAAATTCCATGATCCTGTGTCCCGTAAATGAAAACAATATAGAGCTGTCTTAAAAAACAAGAGAGGGAGAGAGAAATCGGGTTTAACATCCAATTGACACAAACTAGGTCATTTTGGGACTAACACATGGATCAATTTTATTTCAATAATTTGCTTGCGTGTAGGGGTCTTTAGCAGTGGGAGGAAACCCACAAGGTTGGACAGGTGACCCTACTCATTGTCACGTACGACCGAGGAATCGAAATGCGAATTGAATCTGTTTTTGACAGATATTCTTATTGGAGATTAAAATTTAACAATATTGTAGTTTGTAAGCAAGAGATTCAACATTCCTCAAATGAAGAACAGTAGCTGTAAATTACTTCCTGATATATTGATGACACCTATCAATCCTAATCAAACTTTCAACAAATATTTTAAACAGTATTCCAGTAATAAACTTACTTATTTTCTCGACAGTGATGTTTAAATTCATCAACCACTCTTCTAAATAATGTCACTGTACATAATACATTTTCATTATCATCAAATATCTTCCTGATAAAAAAAAGTAATAATATTTAAAAATTTAAAATTAAACTACTGTATATCACATCAAACAATTAATCAAAGGATATTTTCTATGGATCATGATACAGTTAAACATGGATTATGTGGTTGAACCTGCATAGCTGAAAATGTATGAAAATGTCATTTGAACCTTTGCACCAACAGTGAAATGGCTGTATATTCTGGTCATTGTTTGTCACATTCATAGAAATATCATTTGTATGTCAGTATGGTAGATAGATAGATGTATATATATAAAATTAGAACTAATTTGGGGGTCCCTTTAAAATTGGGGGCCCTGGCTACAGCGCAGTCGATCGCCCCTTTCACCCTCCCCTTAATAGTTAATTTGTGGACCTGGACATCTAAAATAAGACTGCTATCAATCAACATATATCTAGTGCCACTATTGATCACATTGTGGTGATTCAATGAAAAAAAGGAAGATTAAAATGGTCAAAGACTGAATGAGTTACAGACACAAAAAATAAACCTGATAATACTAAGTATTTGATGTAATTTAAATTGGAGACAACTAATTAATATATTTGGAGGCAGACCACCATTGATTTTACCCATAGACTTTAATGTCAATTCTATAGACTCTTTGCCTGGCTTCAACTTTTTCCCAAATTGCCGCTGAGCAAGAGATAATTACTTTGATTTTGGGAATTAATGCATAATACTAATTGAACAAGGATATCAACTTGTACATTATAGTTTACTTACTTTGATGATCTTGGTACCACCATGTCAGTCAGTTTCTCATATTTTAAATTCCAATCATTAATCATTGCTCTAAAACAAAATGAAACAAAAATCATAATGTTTACATCGACTTATATATGGTCACACTTCATTTGCGGATACAAAAACAATGAGAGATTCACACATTGTGAATAATATATATATTTTGAATAAGAATTTTACTAAAAAAAATACATATACATACTTTGGTACAACCACAACAAGTGTTGTTAGATATTCTGAATCTAAGACAAAATCATCTCTTTTAACCATATCACCTAGATTACGGGTTAATAAACTTCCACTGTAAAATATAAAACAATTAAGTTAATAAACTTCAACTGTAAAATATAAAGTAATTATAAACTTCCACTGTAAAACACAATGAAACTTTAGTTGATAACGTCTGTCATTGAGTCAAATGGTGAGGTTTTGATACCCAGCTGGTACATAACAAGGAGTAGGACAGCCTGCACAATTATGTGGCTTTCCTCCGGGTTACCGGTTTCCTCCAACAGCTAAAGGGAATTGTTGAAATAAAACTGAAACATATGTTAGTCCCGAAATCCAAATGTCTTAAATTGCTTTGTTTGATGAACTAAATGAAATATATAGTTGGGTTAGTTGGTTATCATCAGCATATATCTAATTATATCTCCAAATGATGTAGTGTATGCTATTAAACGCAAAGGGTACAGATTTGCTACACATAATCTTTTGCAATATAAATTAGAAAGTGACAGCGGAATAACTTTGACCACTTCTCTATAAATAATATTCCAAAGAATAAACACTTACGTAGCTTTACGCTCTAACGTCTGTAAGTTTCCCTTTAAATTATTATAGGATGTGGCTTTAGTCTTCAGATCTGATTCTATTTGATTAACTTGCTACAAGTAAAAATAAAATCAATATATATATCACGTGAAAATTTCTTTACAGGCAAATACTTCTACAAAATCCAAGTGGCCAGTTTGGAATTAAGGCATCTGTCACAATCATTGTCAAGTACAAATTTAGGCTTTGTAGGGCACAATCCCTCTTTACAGGTCATTGTTTTTTATAGCTATGCAGCAGAGGTCCATCAATGTTTGAATTGACCAATGAGTCTTGAGCAATTTTAAGACAAATGGTCCTGACCCTCATGTTATATAGGCCTACTGACAAGACCAATTTAGAACTTATGTTCTAGCACTCACAGATGACAGTCAGACAGTTTGGAGAAACGATAATATACATGTACGACAACATTACAATGTGGGCAAATAAAAAGGGATAAAAATACGGGTTCATGGCAAATATGAGATGTACTGTCGCAACTTCATATTGCAATGTATTCGGCAATACCACACTAAACTACTCACCTTAGCAATTATTTCAGAAATACTTTTAAGGGACTGTTTAATAGGATACTTGGCTAGATCCCATTGAAAACGCTGCAGATAGTTAGCAGGTGGTGCTGAAATATATAATGATCAAACAAAGACATATATATATACTTAAAGTTGAATCCGGAAAGAGACGGAAAATAAACTTATGATTGGGTATTCCCACCTAATTGTCGGGATTCCATCTTTAATGTTGTATGCATCAATTCTTGAATTCTTCTACGCCAATAAAAGTGTGTAAATGTGACACAGGATTATCTGAGAACCAGAACATTTCTTTTATATGGCTTTGATTAAAATATGCTATCTGAGTTATAAGGTATTATTACCTTCATTGACCTTAAGATTTGCTTGAAGTTTATCTCTTGTATCTTCTAAAACATCACCAATATACTGAGCAATTTTTCTTGTTACACTTAAAAAAAAACCAAATGTTTTTAGGCTTGATTGTTGTTCTTAAATGGTAGGAAAGAAAGGAGCAACTTAGGTCGCTTATAACTAAATGGGACATAAGAACAAAAATGTGGCTGAAAACCAATTCTAGTGAATGAATGGAATGAAAATGAAACTGTCTGATTCCTAATCATATGTATTCTACAAGGTTACATTTACATTCAGCTAAAAGCCCCATTTGTTAGACAGGCGAAGAAGATGATTTTTGCTCCTCCCTTGTTCACAAATGGCATTTAAAAATGTTAAAAGTTATTGTGTTCAAAAGCATCATCAAATCAAATGACTTATCACTGCTTGTATTCATCACCAAACTCAGTCCATACATTCACATAATGAACATCTACATTCTACTTCCATTAGAAGCAACGTTTTAGGTTAGTTCTCGTTAGTGCAAAAGCACATTGTTAGCTATGTGAACTCATATATAAAGTAGTATCAATTGTTTCACAAATAATAACCATCCCTTGTCTTGTGCACAACACCCATCACTAATAGTTAACTGGAGCTATAGTTTGGACCTGGACTTCTGAAGAAATAGGCTACTGGCGTCAAGATAACCTTCAAAGACAAGCAGAAGTCATAGGCCAAGTGATTTAAATGCAAATGTGCAACAAAAATTATCTTGTTTCAGAATTAAGCATGGCAACATATGTGAATGTTCTAACCTTTCACAGTAAACATCAAGTTTACCCAATTCATCAGACAGGCCAACTAATATATCCAATGTTCCAACCTGAAACAAAATTGATGACAACATTATCTACTTAATATATAAAGAAACTATATAATGATGGTTAAGTTATGTAGCAATAGTTATTTTGATATGCCCAAATGGTGTTGCTGTTCATATCTTTACATTGGAGAGGGTGTTTTGCCATACCGATTTAGATATTATAATTCTTAGTGGGCATTGTCCTAGGGTTATTTAAGTTTTTTTCCCCCTTGATTTGTCATATGCATGATAATTTTTGGTGAATGTTTGCTGTGAGCACTAAAAGCATGATCATTTGAGAATGAGGTTGTGAACCACTGGGAGGCAAGTAATGTTGGCGACCATGACTGCTCTGCTATTTGTATGAAAACGAGTAAACATTAAGCACACCTACCTTCAGGTCTGGAATTTGAAATTTAAAATTTGTTGACAGTTTTTCGGGACCTTGAGTTGCTGCATTTAGTCTTTCAAAGGTTTGTTGACAAGTCTTCTCCCCAGGAGCCGAGATGAGCCAAAATTCATTGGACATTTTCTTATGACTTGGTAGATCTAGGTAGATCTAAATAATTCTAAAATAAAAAAAATAAAAAATTTGAATTAAAACTGCTGCAATAACCTGATTCCAACATACTCCTACGAGGCTAATCATCTTCTATTTGTTTTTAACCCTTTAATGGTTAGCACGCGCGCTGTATCACGAGGCCTGTTATTGAGTCAACTGGCGTGGTTTCGAATCCCCTATTGTACGTGACAAGGAGTAGGGTCGCCTTCCCAACCTCGTGGGTTTTCTCCAGGTCCTCCGGTTTCCTCCCACTGCTAAAGACCCCTACGCGCAAGCGAATTATGGAAATAAAATTGAACCATATGTTAGTCCCAAAATGACCTAGTCTGCGTCGAGTGGACGTTAAACCCCATTTCTCTCTCTCTCAGTAAGCTTAGTCAAGAAGAGGGCAGGTTTATCACATGGAAACACGAGCTACTAAAAAGTTTTTATGACTAAAGTTGAACGTAATAGTAGGCTTTATTGTTCAAAATTAATACTGAAACACGGTTCCGATCATTCTCATAAACCAGGATGAAACAAGCCAACAGTGAGGCTGATGTCCCCCGCCGAAATAGGAAAATAATTACAGGACACATATAAATTTATCACAAATTATCTTTTACAAAGTATTGAACAATCAAACAGTATATCTTTACTTATAGTCTAAGCATACAATGTTTTTGATGGAATAATTATAGCATATTAAGGGGAAAACATGCTCTATGCCTACAGATCTAGAGTTTGGTTGTATCAACGGGTCTATTTTCCATCTTGCTGCAAGTTGTGCAAAGTTCACTGTTTTCTTTCTGTCATTAAATGTCAATTCATTATTGCATACTACATATTTAATTAATTTATAATAGTTTCTTTTTCAATTTGTTTTTTCCATTTATTTGTTTATTTACCTTGCCTATATTCATTGTATTGGATTGTATTGGAATTGCTCAATTGATGCTTTTATCAATACCTGGTTATAATAATTTTGAACATTTTAACTCAATTCGAAGGAGTGTGACGGACAGACAGACAAACAGACGACGGACAAACCATTTTAATAGTCCCCTGCTTTCTTCGAAAGGCGGGGGACAATAAGCATACACACCAATTTTGAACATTTTAACTCAATTCGAAGGAGAGTTATTGTGTTCCAAAGTCTCAGCAAATCAAATTGCTTATCGCTCTGCTTAATCTGAGCAGAAAATGCTCATTATCGATCTTAGTCAAGGTATTACTGTAATGAAACTATACACCAAGTTTCATCACTCTCACTTAATTAGAACTAAAGTTATAGTGTCCCAAAGCATCAACCAATCAAATTGTTTATCTACTTAATTAGAACTAAAGTTATAGTGTCCCAAAGCATCAACCAATCAAATTGTTTATCTCTGCTTACCCTAAGCGGAACGGACAGACAAACAGACAGACGGACGAACCCATTTTAATAGTTCCCTGCTTTCTTCGAAAGGCGGGGGACAATAAGCATGAACATTTACTCAATTCGAAGATCAACCAATCAAATTGTTTATCTCTGCTTACCATAAGCGGAACGGACAGACAGACAAACAGACAGACGGACGAACCCATTTTAATAGTTCCCTGCTTTCTTCGAAAGGCGGGGGACAATCAAAGTAGTAGAGTTATTGTTTTCCAAAGTCTCGACCAATCAAATTGCGTATCGCTCTGCTTACCCTGAGCAGAAAATGCTCATTATCAAACTTAGTCAAGGTATTACTGTAATGAAACTATACACCAAGTTTCATCAATCTCACTTAATTAGAACTAAAGTTATCGTGTCCCAAAGCATCAACCAATCAAATTGCTTATCTCTGCTTACCCTAAGCGGAAAATGCTCATCTTCGAACTCCATCAAGGCATTGACCTAATCAACACATACACCAAGTTTGAACATTCTAGCTCAATTAGGAAGAGAGTTATCGTGCCCCAAAGTATCAACCAATCAAATTGCTTATCTCTGCTTACCCTAAGCGGAAAATGCTCATCTTCGAACTCCATCAAGGCATTGACCTAATAAACACATACACCAAGTTTGAACATTCTAGCTCAATTAAAAGTTATCGTGTCCCAAAGCATCAACCAATCAAATTGCTTATCTCTGCTTACCCTAAGCGGAAAATGCTCATCTTCGAACTCCATCAAGGCATTGACCTAATCAACACATACACCAAGTTTGAACATTCTAGCCCAATTAGGAAGAGAGTTATCGTGTCCCAAAGCATCAACCAATCAAATTGCTTATCTCTGCTTACCCTAAGCGGAAAATGCTCATCTTCGAACTCCATCAAGGCATTGACCTAATAAACACATACACCAAGTTTGAACATTCTAGCTCAATTAGGAAGAGAGTTATTGTGTCCCAAAAAGTGTGACGGACAGACAGACGGACAGACAGACAGACGGACGAACCCATTTTAATAGTCCCCTGCTTTCTTCGAAAGGCGGGGGACAATTAGCACGTTTATCATATAGAGGACATGGACTGTTAAATTAATCCTGGCTTATAGAATTTACTGGAACCATGTCCTAGAACTAACAGCTACATTATAATATGTCCATTATATGTATATGTGGGTGTAACAACCATTTCTACTATAGGTCTTATAAACCTTATCTTTAGTGGACTGTCATTATTTTGATAGTTTCTGTTATTTTCATAGACCTAGGGGCAAAACTCATGATCACATGAATATATGGGAGTACAACCCTGATTTCTGTTCAAATCTGGTACAGTTAGTGTTAGTTGTATTTTACAGGTCTAACTTTATTTTTATGGACTATTGCACACTATACTGTATGTTTCAACTTTTTCCTTCTTGTTAATAATCATTTGGATGCGATAAAAAAACTGAGGTCATATGCACATCTTGGTGTGCACGTAAAAGAACCCATGACAGAATTCAATGGGAAAAATTTCTCTCAGAGTGCACTATCTGGCATATACCTGTCTTCCGTCTTCATTAACTTGGTTGGAGAAGAAAAGTAGGATGTTACATCAATTTTATTTATTCATTCATACCTTACAGGAGTGCAGGACTATTGATAAAGGGACAAAGACTGTATATTTTCTGAATATACTATTGTATGACCTATAAAGTACTGTTATCAATAAATACATAGTAATAAAGGTTCTACTTTTTACAGTTTATAGTAACACAGGAATTTGTCATGAGTGTAGATTTTGTTAGTTAATTCTTCTTATATTTAATATTTGCACCACTTTCACCTTCTAAACTTCAATCCATGTAGAAATAAAGAAGTCATGGGCAACAACAAAATTTTCATAATTTTGAAATAAACGGTTCTCTTAATTTGAGGTCTATTTTTTTTAAACAAACTAATAGTAGGCCTTCACAACCAATAATCCTACATGATAAAGATTAACCTTTTATTATTTCCCTTTTCTATACTTAGTTCTCGAAATCTAAGGTTTAATGTTTAATATATTTCTTAAAACTCATGTATAGAGTAGTGCTGGCATGATATATTGTTGAATTGATGTATCGCAATTCGCGTATTGAATCATGATACACTGTATCAATTTTTTTATTATTATTTATGTTTTTTTGTCACTTCAGTAACTAGCCTGTCACTCTCAATTATCCATGTCAAACATCATCCATAGTTAAACAAACACTTTAAACTGTTTTGGTCCTTATGAATATTGTGATACAAAACAGTTTTATTTCTTCGTTATCGACAGAACTAAAAATTCTCGCCATCCTGTTGTTTTCTTAGTAAATATCGACTTGTGATGAATCGGGATACGAATTGTATTGTAGCACCTGAATAGCGATACGTGTCGTATCGTGACTCCAGTCGCGATACCCAGCACTATTATAGAACACCACAGTTGAAATCCCACCTGTCTACTGATCAAATGTTAAAGAATTCTCCAGGAATATCAGCAAGAAAAAGACGAATTGGCTACAGGAAGCCATCCCATATGGAGATATAAACCTATGCTGAACAGAGATTAAGAGCTATATTATAATTGATGATAATATTTAAGATTATCTATCCCCCAAATACAGTGGTGGTGTTATATTATTTCATTTTTATCATCTCTTAAAATCTCATGGATTTAACAATTCTCTTCATCTTTCAGAAGAGGGATTGGCTGGTTGAATGTTCTAATGCATGCATTTCAGATCATAAGGTCTGTCACTTCTGGTTTCGATTCATGGGTTTTCTTCAGGCCATCTGGCTTCCTCCCAGTGCAAAAGACTCCTACGCGTAAGCGAATTATTGAAAAAAAGAGGTCCATGTGTTAGTTCTGAAATGGCCTGGTTTGTATTTTCTCTCTCTCATATTTCAGGTTATTAGGTCTGTAAAGTGGTTGTTATTATTGAAAATAAATGTACTAATTCATGCAAGTCTTGTCATTTTTATACCATTAAACCTATAATTAGATTCATTACATTTCCTCATTGTTTTAGGTCAAAAAATGGGTGAAATTGAACCTGGGCAAATCATCATCACAGCTTGATTAATTGCTACTCACTAATTTACTTTATCTTTCAGGGTTTTCAAAGTCAATATCTTTTTTTTTTCTTTTCTGATAAATTAAATCCTCTAATATCAACATAATTACCATGTTATTATTAATTAAATTTGCTGAGTGTTTCAAGTTGTTATCATTAAAACCTGATTAAATCTCTATTTCACAATCTTATTACCTATTAATTTACTTTCCAGGTAAATGTGACTTATTATTATATTAGATGTTATAAATAGCATTTTGATCAATTATTATTAGGCCCTACCATTTAAAAGCTTGTACGGTATTATCATATGTTTGGCATGACGGGAGTAAACATGTATCATTACTGGCATCATAACTTAGGCTACAGTAATACATTTAATTATAATAGGTCGCTTTCAAGGTTATTAGTGATGTCTCTTATTGGTCATCATTAATCAAGTTGGTGCTATTGTTGTTCACATAGATATAATGTCCCATCATTTCTTTCTAATTGCTTCATTGATGAAGTATTGTTCTTGTTCTTGTTCTTGCAAAGGCTCAGCGTTTGAAACTTGTTGTGATTGTTCCTTGGACAATTGTGCATCGATTGATTTGACATCACGGTTCCTGCTCAATTCTTGGTCCATAGTACCGTATCCTCATACTTGTTTATGTTTAATAACAATGATTAGAAGGAATAAAATAGTTGATTATCTGTTATTACCAGTAAATATAATTTTATGAAGAAAGGTCAATGTCCACATTGTGATAAAAGCGTTTATTTCAAAAGAAATTATGACAACGTATATTGAAAATTATTCGATTGAGGCTATTTTATCTTGCACAAAGCAACATTAAACATACATTATGCAAGAGCTAAATCTGTCTATCTAAATTATTAATTAAACATTAATTAACCTATCCAGACCATAATCAACTCTAGATGGCACCGCTAGCCTACGATCTTTAGTGAATTGTGAGCCAATTTACTTCACGACTTATTGATGAAATGGATAATCGAGACTATGCTGTTTATCGTACTGACCTTAGTAATGATGATCAAGGCTAGGCGGAAATTCAATCGCTTTGTTCTTAGTTCATAGTGGATCAATTTGAATTAAATTTTCAGAAAATTGCCTTTACATTATCTAGTTTTTAACTATTATAGTGAGAACTGCCAACTCGTTATCGAATCTCCCATAATGTATCTTTAAATGTACCAATCGTAGCAGACACCATATTGGTACAATATTGCAGCTAATCTGTTACCGGGTAGGTGTAATTTACATCTATCATTCATTTTCATAACCAAGGAAGCTAATTTTGATTTTAAACACAACATAGTCAAGATTTTAAACAAAACATTTCTGATTTTAAATCGATTATACATGTTAGCCTATCTCCACTCATTATAAATACATAAAATAAATGGTCAGAGTAGACTATGGCTGTTGATGAATGAATGCCAAAATCATACTGTTTGAATATTGATGTTTTTTGGGGGGTTTTCATGACTGTGTACGACTCTAGTCTAGTGGCAGCATTTTTTAAAAAATACCAGTGGCAGTACCCTTGCGGTTTTTAAAAGTGAATAGTAATTAATTAGTTACTGTAGGCTACACCATACATACCATTTACCATGCATTTCACTTGAGTTCCATGACAATCGCACATCAGTGAATATCAAATTTAACAAAATCAAATATATATATTTTGGATGATGATTTCAAAGAGGTTTAGCCCCCATAATATCTTCAAACATCCACAAAAAATCACTGATCATGTCATGGTAGAAGATGACTTTCGCTTCGTCACATGACAAACAAGGACAGATAAATTTCTGACGTTTTGTGTATTCCTTTCTTTTGTGATAAACTTTAGATTTAATTACGTGTAATAATGATTTAACTTTATAGCCTATTGCGAAATTGTCCAACTATAAGATTAGCCAACTTACTCTTTCAGAAGTAAATCGTCAGCAAACTGTCTCAGGATATCTAAATTGTGTCAATAAATGACAGCCTCCATATTGTGTTCACGTGACACCGTACACAAAACCAATCCACTCGGCAAACCTCGGTAGATTCCGGTACCCTACATTTAGATGTGGAGTACGGGAATCTGCCGAGGTTTGCCGAGTGGTACTGAAATCTGCCGAGTGAAAACCAATCGGTATTCTACGACTTTTTCGGTGTATTTGGATTCAGACTAGTAATAATTTAGTATTTTAATAAGATCCATGTCATTTCTTGGCCTATCAAATTTAATGAACATTTTGGTGATCTTTATCTTTAAAACCCAAAAAGTCCTACATATCACAATTATCTGATAAAAATATTGAAGGGAGTTGATCAACTTTATATATTGCTACACCCGGTGAAAGGAATATATTATCATAGGCTCTGACGTCATTTTTGTAGGCTACTTTCCTAATTTATGTTTTACTTCTTGATCCCTTCCGACTCTAAATGAAGTCAGACTTTTCAGCGGCACACAGATCCACTCAATATATCAAACTTGGCAGCCTGCACTACCTCAAAAGCACATGCGCGTGTCAAAGAGTGTGGGTGCATGTGTGATCTTGTATGCGTGTGGCGCGTGTGTGTGAGAGGGGTTGGGGGTTGCTGAACTATAACGTTTGTATTATAAAATAATATAAATTAACGGAACCGCCAAATGTGTGTGTGTGTGTGTGTGTGTATATAAAGGATACCAGCCATGTTTTAGCCCACCAGTTAATTTTATCCAGGTCACTGTTTAGAGTATCTGCGCATTGGGTAGGATCATCAATTTTGAGATAAAGGGAAATATCAACAGCGAAAAGTAGAAAGTTTGATGTGATATCATTCACAATATCATTTATATAAATGATAAAAAGGAGAGGATTGAGAATAGAGCCCTGTCGCGCACCCGAGGGAAATGAAGACTGGCATATACGCCATACAGTAGGCTATGCTATGAGGGGAAATTTTGCCCTGGCAGCGGCACTATATATGGCCTACTGTTATATCGAATTCCAAATGACAAGGGATCTTTGACGTGCACGCCAATGTAGGCTATATACAGGAGATATCGGTTTTTCGTCCCACCCGAACGACTAGACAGGTGTCCTTGTCGAGCCCTCCGCCCTGCACCACTGACAAGGAGAAACCACGTTGGAAAATCCCGATGAACTTTCTCGGCCAATGCAAGGATCAAACACGCGACCTCCAGGCTAGCGAGCCAGCGTCTTACCCACTTAGCCCCCGTGGCTACAACTCCCGCGGGAATGGTTAATCCCCATTTCGTCATCTTTTGTTAATTCTCGTTGAGTAACCAAATTTGGAATGACGGCCTTTTCGTCTTCCAGCCATCGGTCGAAAATGGTCATCTCCTGAGTAACCAGTTATTAGTTAAACAAAACCTGGGTTACCTGTGTATGGGTTATACAGATATTGAACACGTGCCTAATTCGGATTAAACACAAAATGAATACTTTTCAGCTGGAATTTCAGAGACGGCTAAGTTTTGAAATTTCGCTCTTTGCATTGAATGCGATACTCTAATACTAAACATGATAATCGTCACTAGTCTGAACATGATTTCAGAAGCTTTTAATTTAAGCCACGGCTCATATTTACGTCTACCTAGAGCTTGTTCAACTTTCGTTTCGAACCAAAATTACCAGACTGGCGTCCTCCCTCGTATCTATGAATATGGATTCAGTAAAAAAATCGATTATGAAATATTTTATTTGTAAACAATTTTAACTACATCTTTACAGATGTAATTAATTAAGAAACTATATAATCTATTTCATTTGATCAATTTGGCCCACATTATACAATATTTTGAAATATGTCGGTATAGATGAAAAAGTATTAAATGTGGCTGCACGCAACAATCTTATATCATCTCATCCACACACAGTACCTCATGGCATGAAGAAAATTTCGATATAATTTTGACGCCATTCAAATTCCCATAAAAGTTTATGTTCCAAGTTTGGGGATGGGGGCGAATTGAGTCAACTGGCGTGGTCTTTGTCTTGGTCCTGCCACTGCTAAAGACTATCGAAGCCTATAACTACCATTCATAATTTCTACTTTTCGCCTCTTCAAAACACGAAAGTCGAAAAGTCGAAGTTACGACAAAATGTGAGGCGACAACACGCTATACAAGCCAATATCTTTATATCCCAAAGATCTCTTTCCCTTTTGATATTTCAGGCCATAACTTTCTGGATTCTTGCCCCTGATTGTACAAAAAATCGCGTTTGTTTTTAGCTTGTTCTCTATCCATCGCTTGCAAAATGTGGGCGTGTCCTGCCTGGTAGCCGCTGGTTCTATAATACAGTTGTTTTTTTTTTTAATTTTGGTTTGAAGCATTGCATTGTGATCGCGATAGAGCCTACAATTTTTGCCATTTTTTTTTCAAGCTTGTGAACTGGACAAGAGATCAGATTTCGTGACCAAATTTGGTCAACATCCAAGTTTCCTTTTGGGGAAGCTGCTGTCTGTCTATCTTATTACCGAGACAAAGCTGCTGTTATACATTTGTTTACTTCCAAAATTAAAGGGCAATTTTAAACCCGTCTAAGCATTATTTTGTTTTATTATATTGTGGTAAGATTGATAAAGCGTCTCCAAACAAGATTTAAAAAAAAAATCACCTAATTGATTGTTTGTTTTTATTTGCCAGGTTGCACACGAAGACAAAGTAATATTTCATATTATAAACCTGTTGTGTTTTTACCTGAAATGAATTAAGAAGTAGAAATGGTTTATATTTTTTTAATTCCGTGAATGCGATTTTGATTTGGAGGAGCCGCAGTGGCTTAGTGAGAATGCCGTTGGCTAGCTAACCAAGATATCTTGAGTTTGCTCCGGTGTTGGCCGAGAAAGTTCCTCCTGACTTTCCGGACTGGTTTCTCCCATGTCAGTTTTGCAGAACAAGGGGCCTGGCTAGGACAGTCTCTAGTCATTCGGATAGAGATGAAAAATTGAGGTACCATGTACATATTGGCATGCACGTAAAAGATCCCTTGACAGTTGGAATTCGATATATATGAGTAGGTCGTAGTGCCACTGTCCGGGCAAAATTTCCCTCATAGCACACTGTATGTGGGATGTTAAACCCCATTTTATTTCGTTTGTATTTACTTCTAGATACCTTTTCACTGCTGTATGTTTTGTGTAAAACATATTTATTTGTACATAACAATAACATATCCAGAAAACATTAGAATTTTCTGTGAAACTACATAAAAGTGCATAAATATTTTGCATTATCACACTGAATTTGTCTAATGTAGATAATGTTTATGTATAGATTGGTACAAATATTTTCATGCTTTTGTTATTACATGTTGTATTTACATTGAATTTAGGGAGGAAGCAATGGTGTTTATTGCACATTGTTTTTGCTAATAGACATTTTGACTTAAAAACTGAACCATTGATCTGTTTATGTATCTCTTGAAGTAAAGGGCACTTGATTGGAACCAAACTAGTAACATATATATATATATATCTAGTTTAATTTATTACACCAAAATAGTGGATGTACAAATAATTATGAATAATAACTTTTGGTTTTTTTTATAATCTTTATTTAAATTCAAATCAGTCGTTATTTTACTTTTAAGTGATTTTTATACACCCACAATTAACATGAATGTGTATTGTAGCCAAACTGCATTCGTTATCTGTCAGTCCGTCAAACTTATATTTTGGTGATTCTAAACACAACATTTTTTTTTTTGATCACAAATTTCAGAATTATCTCCCCATTTACATTCGGAACATGATACAGGACTGAGTCCTTGAGAGCATTTTCTAATCTCTATGGGACTGTTTACACGAGTGCAAGGATGACTTTGTTCCGGACAATCTGTGCATTTCCTTATTATAAATTAAGCTAGCAGCGTCAAGACCGGAGAGGTCCACCTACCTATACTATACTATACTATACTATACTATACTATACTCTCTTAAAATACAAAATATTAAGGAAAGACATTTTATATAAATTTACAACATGCAGTGGCATGCAGAGGTTTAGTGATGCTCAGGGCCATCTCTTAGTACTGAGAAATGTGAGAAAGGAAGACATTTTAAATATGTAAAAAAAAAAAAAAATGAAAGGTTTTATTCAAATTAAGAAAGGCAGCTTGTACAACAAAGTTAACATCGATAATGGATGTCCGAGCCATCGCCCTCTCTCTGCACGCCATTGTTCACTTTTAATCCTATCCAAAATTCTTGTCTTTAGCAGAAGTGGCAGGATTAGAGATAAAGGAAGTTATAAATCTCCAAATTCTTCTGAGGGGCTTACACCCTTTCCATGTGGGCATTTGCTTTACACAAAATTGAATTCCACATACTAATCAAAGAAGCTTAGGCTACAACACCATTGTCCCTGCAAAATTTCTTCACTCACACTGACCATGTGACCATAAAAATGAATACTATTGTTTGTTAGTCTAAAAATGACCTAAATAAAGTGTTGATTAAACCCCATTCTATCCAATCAACCATCACAATTATCGTCAAAATGGCTTAGAAAAGAATAAGACACTTTAGACATTATGGTTATCTCATTAATAAAAGTTATAAACATTAAAATAACACAATATCTGTTCAAAAATATATATATGTGTATGGAATTATTTCTGTTTTCTTTCTGTTCCATATCAGGGTTTATCTCTGACATATGAGAATTGATTTAATTACTACATATATAAAATTTATATACTGTAGTACTTAAAGATTACTATTTAACTAAATTCATTGTAGTACATAATTTTTTTTTGTACAAATATTTAAGATTATTTATTATGAACCATTCTGATCATCAACAAATTTAACATGCGTAAAGGGGAAAATGCCTGTTTTGTCATTGAGTACACCTTCCCACTGTCCATTCACATTCATTTTCGTAACAGTAATAATTTCACCTTTCTGAAAAGAAAGTAATTTGTTATTTACTTTGTCATTCGTACAGTAAAATAATAACAGGCACATAGGCCCCTATCACCCATCAGTTAACAGTGCAATCAAAGACTACCCCATAAACACTCATGTATAATTAACACGCCGCCATAAATAACACTCAACCCCTCTCCATTCCCGGGAATTCAGGAAAAATTTATTTTCCCCCAAATAACACATATGTTATACATTTGAAACCAGTATCTGTTTCCTCGTACATGGCTATTAATCACCCTGGATCTTCAAATTTGGATTTATGACTGCATATTTTTATAAACAAGCCAACAGTGATGCTGATGTCCCCTGCCGAAATACCAAAATAAATAGATGACACTTATTAATTAATTGCACATTTATCTTTTTCAAAAGTATCAAGCAATCAAACTGATTATCTATGCTTAGTCTAAGCATAAAATCAAGATGAAACTCAGTCAGGATACACTGAATTTCATCACCCTCCATCAGTTAGAATCAAAGTTATCTTGTCCCAAAGCATCAACCAATGAAATTGCTTGGCTCTGATAAGCTTTAAAGAATGAACATCTATACCTCAATTAAAAGCAGAGTTGTTATGTTTTGAAGCCTTGACCAATCAAATTGTTTATCGCTACTTAGCCTAAGCAGAGAATTCTCATCATCGCACTTAGTCACGGTATTGATATATTGAATCTCTACTGAAGAGTTTTCATCATTCTCACCCAATTAGAACCAAAGTTATCATGTTTCAAAGTCTCAACCAATGAAATTGCTTATCTCTGCTTAGCCATAGTGGAAAATGCGCATGATTCATCACAATCACTCAATTAGAATCAAAGTTGTCAACCTCCAAAGTCTCAACCAATCAAATTGCTTATTGCTCTGAGCTGAAAATGCTCAGTATCAAACTTAGTCAAGGTATTGATGTGATGTAAACTATACACAAAGTTTCATCACTCTCACTTATTAGATCTAAAGTTATTGTGTCCCAAAGCATCAACCATTCAAATTGCTTACATGTATCTCTGCTTACCATAAGCAGAAAATGCTCATCTTCGAACTCCAATGAATGCCTACTCCAAGTACGAACATTCTACCTCAATTCAAAGTAGAGTTATTGTATTCCCAATTCTCGACCAATCAAATTGCTTGTTGCTCTGCTTACCCTGAGCAGAAAATGCTCATTATTGAACTGAGGTATTGATGTAATGAAACTATACACCAAGTTTCATCACTCTCATTTAATTAGAACTAAAGTTATCGTGTCCCAAAGCACCAACCAATCATATTGCTTATATCTGTTTACCCTAAAAAGAAATTGCTCATCTTCGAACTCCATCAAGGCATTGACCTAAAAAACACCTACACTAAGTTTAAACATTCTAACTCAATAAGAATTGAACATTGTGCCCCAAAAAGTGTGACGGACAGACCCATTTTAAGTCCCCTGTTTTCCTGCTAAAGAAGGGGACAATTATGGCAACTATATAATTTAGCATAATCTCATAGCGTGGATATGAACTGTACTTATGTTAAACTATATTTAGCATAATCTTGTAGTTTGGATCACTATATGAGCTGTACTTGCAATTGGCATCCATCTTTTGTTCATTCATTTGCAAGTGATGGAAAAAGTTACAAATTTTCATTACCCTAAATAACAAGCCCCCCTCAGGTGGGACTGCCCAGGGAAAAGGGTGTGTGTTTAATTACATATAAGTAGAAAAGGTAATTAAAACACAATAACCTCCAATATACTTTTACTTGCTGCATTTACAATGATTTGACAAATTGAAAATTCCATACATCTATGCTGCTCCCTATGTAAAGATAGGTTCCCAGGAAATGAAACATACGCCCACAGCAATTAAATTGTCCGAGCCGTTGACAAGGGTTGTCACATAATTATTCTTTGTAGGTAATTGAGGGCATTTACAAGAAAATTTCATACAGATCAGATTATAATTTTTGCCGATTAAGGGTTCACAAGGTTCTACAAACTGAAACAAGGGCCTTAACTCTGGAAGTGATTTACAGAAATTGTTGAAATTTGACAGACTTTTTCGTTTTACTAATTTAAATAATGTATATAAATTTCATACAGTTCAGATAACTTTTGTCGTTCGAAAGTTCACAAGGTTCACAAAGTAAAACAAGGGCCATAACTTAAGAAATTATTGACGGAAATTGCTGAAATTCAATAGACCTCTGTCTAAATTTCATACATATCGAGCATTAACAAGGTTGAACAAAATTCAATAGGCTGCGTCGTTTCACTAATCTAAATGATACATATAAATTTCATACAGATTGGATGATAACTTTTGGCATTAGAGTGTTCAACAAAGTGAAACGAGGGTCTTAACTCTAGACGTAATAAATGGAAATTGCTGAAATTCACCAGGTTTCTTTGTTTTACTAATTTAAATAATGCATATAAATTTCACAAATATCAGATTATATCTTTTGGTGTTAGAGTTTTCACAAGGTTGAACAAAGTGAAATAAGGGCCATAACTCTAGATGTAATAAACGGAAATTGCTGAAATTCAATAGGATTCTTCTTTTTAATACTTTAAATGACACATCTAAATTTCATACATATTGTTTGATAACTTTTGATGTTTAGACCTTTTACAAGGTTCAACAAAGTGAAATAAGGGCCATAACTTAAGATGTAATTACTGAAAATTGTTGAAATTCAATGGGATTCTTCTTTTTACTAACTTGAATGACGCATCTAAATTTCAAACAGATCGGAAGATAACTTTTGATGTTAGAGCGTTCACAAGGTGCAACAATGTGAAACAAGAGCCATAACTATAGAAGTAATTAACAGAAATTATTAAAATTAAATAGGCGTCTTCATCTCACGAATGTAAACAACATATTATATCAATTTTAAAAGAATCGGATTATAACTTTTGGCGTTTGAGCGTTCACAAGAAATTGTGGACGGATGGGGGTGATGACAATATACGTCCACATTTCCATGTGGTCGTATAAAAAATAACAAGTATAAAGTTGATATGAATAATAAATTTGAACAGGAGAATAATCAAGTAATAATCAATGAATTACTAACCAAACATTGACAAGCATATTTGGCACAGAGTCTAATTAGTAAAGGATTAAAATATCACACCATTTCGACATTATGTATAGTTACGGGCAATGTGCCAAGTGTACATTATTTATACTAGTTTAATTATTGGACCCGTGTGATGTATATTTCATTGAAATGCACGTGCTAGATAGTGTCTGTATTTTAAGTTGTTTAACACTCAGAGCTACCCTTGTGCAATATCAATATAATACTTAATGTCTCGCCCTCAACCATTAAACTACACTTAATGCTATTAACCGAAAAATATTTTTTTAGTAGGAGGTGCCAATGTCAAGGAAAAGAAAATGAACGAGCAATGTTAGGGTGCCCCACACAGCCAAAAGAATAGCATACTAGTAGTATCTTGCTTTTGTTTTTACAAGGCTCTCAAAACAATCATTGAGTTGCCTAAAATGAGGGTTTCTAAATTAGATTATTAATCTAGCTTTCTGTAACGTTTCGTAGAAAATAGGCTTAATTATCCTGGCCTGGTTATCAGCCGAAGAATGGTCAATAGACTGGTTAAGAGGAATTAATTTCATATCAAGGGCAGATAATCTATTTTGCACTAAAAACTGCCCAGATTTAATAGCGGTGGCTTGACAACTTTTTCAGTCTAATTCTTTAATTATTTGAAATGCTTATAACTTGTTAAATACAACACAACCGTTTATTTAGGGACTATAAATGTGAGGTGGTAAGTTAAACCGTGTTATTTATATACTTATTGTGGTATACCGTAATTGTCGAAATATTTGGAGATATTGGGAGATATCTATTTATGGTGTGGCACCATAGCAATGTCCCTGAAACAATCCCTATGGGCTCAAGCTAATTCGTTAAAACAAATGAATATTCACCTACCAAAAGTTTTAATTGTGTTTTATCATAAGCATTTGGTATTCTATCTTGTATTACACATGCTTTTGCTGGAAGCTTTACCTAGAAAACAAAAGTTTCATCAAATCATCAATCACATAATTTAGTCACAAAAGCATCTTTGTAATCAAAACCACTGTAATAAAAAAATTACTATTTTGTCAATAATATATTGCTCTGCATGTGACTAATAACACACTTGCTCAGCTTCGTTTGAGCTAACACTATTGAAATATTATAATTTATTTCCTTAAATATATTTCCACCGGGCTCTTCTTCAGATTTTGCAAACATTTTTTTGGAAAGCCACATTCATTATGTTAACATACAAGAATTGCTGATGACATGAGTAAAAAGTATTCTTCATCTCACTGAAAACAACATATATCAATTTTAAAACAATCGGATGATAACTTTTGGCGTTGGAGCGTTCACAAGAAATTGTGGACAACGGATGGTTCGACAAACAGATGTACGGGGAGTGACAGCAATATATGTCAACATTTCCATGTGGGTGTATAACAAACTTGTTCAATTACTATCCTATTATATAGTTGAATTGGTCTACCTACATTATTAAGAGCTGAATGACGATTGCCTATATTGGTAGTAGATGACATCACAGAGTCACTTACAGTAGTTGGTGTTCTGTAAACCATACCAAGTTCTTCTGTTGGATGATTATTTATTTCGTACTACACAAAATAACATTTCAAAATATAATAATAATAACTAGATCTGCCAAGCTAAAAGCTTTCATATTTATCTTCACTTCTGGTCAGAATAGACTTCTTTGTCTCATAACATAAATAGTGGATAACTGTAGTATCATGAGTTCACAAGCAATGGATCTCTAATAGGGACAGGATTCCTAAGATTGTTCAATTCTATTCAGTATTTACAATGATTTTACAAATTGAAAATTCCATCGATCTATGCGGCTCCCTATGTAAAGAAAGGTTGCCAGGCAACAAAACATAAGCCCACAGCAGGTAAATCGTCTAAGCAGTCGACAAGGGTAAGTGTGGGCATTTACAAGATAATTTCATACAGATCAGATTATAATTTTCGGCGTTTGAGGGTTCACAAGGGTCTGTCTACAAACTGAAACAAAGGCCTTAACTCTGGAAGTAATTTACGGATTTGTTGAAATTTGACAGGATTTTTCATTTTACTAATTTACATAATGCATATAAATTTCATACAGATCTGATGATAACTTTTGAAAATCGAACGTTTACAAGGTTCAAAAACTAAAAAGCTATAAATCTAGAAGTAATTGACGGTAATTGCTGAAATTAAATTGACTTCTACGTTTCACTAATCTAAATGATGCACTAATCTAAATGACGCATATAAATTTCATACATATATCAATTTTAAAACAAACGGAATGATAACTTAAGGCGATAACAAGAAATTGTGGACGGCGGACGGACGGAGGCGATGGATACGTACACGTATACGTAAAAAGATGGTCACCATTTTTTATTAGCTGTGAATCAAATTGATGGTCCTGTTTTAAGTCTGACTGAAGAAAAGACAGGACATAATCTAGGGTTGGTAATTTGATTTCTTAATTAAATGTTAAATTATCAATTTGACTACCAACTACCAAGGCTGTGTGAAATTTTACATTTTCCGAAAAAAGCAAATCAGGAATTTAGTAGCAAAACTAAGACATTTAACAATGTTTCATGAATAAGTGACAGAAAAGCAAATGGAAGCAAAAATATAAGCATGCACCCCCCATTCTAAATGTTCAAATAAATTAATTCTTACCTTTTCTACATAAGGAACTGGTATTTGACCAACTTGTCCATGTTTATTTCTGCACGTCCACCATTTCTCTTCATCTTTAGATATAACTTCTAATACATCACCTCGCAGAAATGGAAGATCTTCAAGGTCCTGAAAAAGTGAGGATTGAAACCAATTAAAGGTAGGTTGCCAGGCAACAAAACATACGCCCACAGCAGTTAAGTCGTCCGAGCAGTCACCAAGAGTTGTTGCATATTTTGTCTATTGTCGGTAATGAAACATTTATAATACACTAAAACCTGATTAAGAGTAGCAACTCATTAAGTAATTATCAGAAAATCATTAGAAAAAGTTTGGCTTTTAGTTCTGCCCCACGCTAACGTTTAGTATACGAAACATTTAATATCATGAATTTAGCTGTTCAAGTTATCAAAATTCATTGAAAATCAATATACTTGTTCGTCTCAAGACCTTAAACTCTGTTAATCAATCTAAGAGCATCCACAAGATTTTTCAATGTGATCAAGGGTTATAACTCTGGTAGTAATCATCGGAAATCATTGAAAATCACTGGGCTTCTTCGTCTTACGACCTTAAACACTGTGCATAAATTTAAAGTTAGTCTGATATAAAGGGTGTTGTACAGTCTTAAATGCACATTTTAAAGCTAGCACTGTAATTTTTGTTGATACGATATGACATTTTGAGTTATTTTGGTTGGTAAACTCCATATTAATCACCAAAAAAATACCAATTTTATTTACCAACTATGTTCCAATCTTGGCCCAAAAGCATGACAATAAAAAGTGCTGATGACAATAAAAGTCAAATTTTCTCAGTTATGCCTGCATGAATTTTCTTTAAATTTGGCATGCACAATGCTAATAGCAATTTCAAACAAAGCCACTGGTCAATTTTTGACTATAGGCTGTGGTTTGTCTGGTATCCATGGAAACACAAAAAAAACAATAAGTTTTCTTGGAGATTCTATTAGTACATGCTTAAAAGAGATATCAATAACCACACCAGTAGATGGAAAGTAGAGGTTATAAGCTACATTTCAACACCAAAAACATTGGAAAATATCAATTTAAAGTATTTTAAACTCGTCCTTCATTATTCACCTTCAAACAGGATTTTGTGATTTTGGGTTAATTCTTTGAATACGTCCACAACAAGTTTTATAATACAACAATTCGGACGTTAAAAGTAAATATCTACTTCAGTGCACTACTCGGCCGCTCTAAAAATCATTTTATGCCTTCAAAAATAGCAGTCTTCGATCATCAAAAAATGAAATTCAGCCATGTTCCAATCGCGATAGATGGTAGACCTGGATAATCGCATCTTAGAAGGAATTCCTTCTGGTGTCATATCTAGATAGACGTGAATGATCCAGTGTGAAACTACTGCTGGACACGGCCATGATTGTTTACAGCGGATGACGTCAACAAAGATTTTTCAAAAGAGATCAAGGGCCATAACTCTGGCAGTAATTATCGCAAATCATTGAAAATCAATAGGCTTATTCGTCTCATGACCTTAAACACTGTATATAAATCTAAAGTCAATCGGATATCAACTTTAGCCTCTAGAGTATCCACAAAATATCTTTATCTGGATATATGATACTTCCCTAACAACCAGATAAGATAATGATATACCTTGTTTATTCTTAGGCCACACAAAATAAATGTCTTGTTTCTCGGGCAACTGACAGCTGAAACTGTAGGGAGGGAGGGCGGTTTCTTTTTTTTTTTTACTCATTGATGGTGCAAAATAAAATTTGGCTATTGCTGAAAATTGTTGGGGCGGGAGGGCGGTCTTTCTTTTTTTTTTTTTTTAAATGAGAAAGTCATTACTTGTTTACGTTTTTGCTTTCCGTTATATTCAACTTTATTGTACATACTTAAAACATAAACCCAAAATCAAGTCTACTAAAACACTGAGACTGAACACTGACTGAAAGGAAAATAATTTTCCATATTTAATTCACATAATTGAAATTGGTTTAAAATAAAATTCCATACGACTATGTAATAGCCCTCCATAAAGACAACAATATTTTTAAAAACTAAGCCTCTTTCACCAGGTGTATCAAAAATAATAATCATGGTAAACAGTATTTAAAACTAAATCTAGTATCGCCGGTTTATTTATAATTATTTACCGAATTCCAACCAATGCATGTCACACCGTGTCATCGGTATTGGAGATTGCCGGAAATACTGTTTCTTGGGATATTCGGTGTGTTTCTCAGGATATTCGGTGTTCTATCCGGTGTTTATATTGAATGACTATTTAAATCTAACTAACAACTGGTCAGTAAAACCATCAAATCGGTAATCCAATTATTATTTTCCGGATTATCGAAACTACCGTAAATGTGCTAATAATGACCCAGATTCTAAGGTATGCATTATGACGACTATCGTCATCGTATCGTATTCTTAGCTATAATTAATTAACCTGTTCTACGGTTCATTATTTTATCAATAGGATTTTCCAAACAAGGACCGACTGAAGCCGGCAATAATGAGCCGATTACGATCGAATGATTGAAATATTGTCGCCAATGACTTTTAACACGAATCAAATTCTAGTTTATCAGGGGAGGTAATTAATATCACGTGATACAAAATGGAGGTTCTTTCGATATCAATAAAAAAGGCAAATCTGCCAAACTTCGCCATTGTTCGGATAAAAAAGACAGCATGTTCATCTGAATCAGTTTTAATACATTTGAATAGATATACATGTATGGCGGATGTAGGTACATGCGGGATATTTTTTTTACGACTTGCTTGTCGATGTGCGGGCGGGCGTTACATATTTATTTTTTTTCATCAAGACTAATAAATAGACTGCACGCGCAACCAATTTTGCGTGCGGGCGGTGCCCGAGAAACAAGTTATTTTATTTGTGTTGCCTTATCCTGTATGGGAATCGAAAAATAACTTTAACATCTTAAGCATACAGGCAAGGGCCATAACTCATATTATCAGAAATCATAGTAAATCAATAGGATTCTTTGTCTCACAAACATAAAGTTTCTACAATCATTGGAATCATTTAAAAATCAATAGATTTCTTTGACTTGTGAACATAAAACAGATGGTAACTTTAGCCTCTAGAACAATTTTGAACGACTGAAAGAGGTGACAACAATAAACAACCACTTTTAAAGTGAAAATATGACTGAAAAGAAAGACCTAATGATGAATGCCACTGAATTTTAAAAGATGCCAGGCAGCGAATAAATGCCCATGGCCAGCATATTCCCACTCAGTCATAGACTTGCATGTTGCAGAGTCTGAATGATTTCTTACCAAGCCCATCCTGCTGTAAACCTACTATAAACAATAACATGTGAACCACTTGAGAAGTGCTTTTTACGATCCTCAAAGTTTCTGGGTATAGGTTCAACGAGTTTGACACCTCCCTCTCTGTTCGGATAAGCTGGTCTGGTGATTTGGCGACGAACAATATCTGATCAGCTCTATTTATCTCGACGACAAGTGTCTGAATACTGCCAGACTGCATTTCTGATAGTTTATTTCTCAAAATATGGTGGCAAAAACATTCATTCACTTTGATTTACTCACTCCGTTTCTTTGACACTTTCCTATCTGGTCGGATAAACTAGTGATTTGGCGACAGGCGGTATCTGGTAAGCTTTATTTATCGACGATCAGCGCCTGAAATACTGCAAGACTGCATTTCCTGCAGTCTATTTTTCAAATTTTCAGAAGCTTCGTCGAGGTTCTCAAATCTGTTCGTTTGACACTATCTCAACGATCAGTGCCCAAAATAATGCATTTCCGGCAACCTGTCTTTGAAGCTCTTGATTTGCCCCCTTATACTTGGACTATGCCCTAGATTTGCCCCCCCCCCAACCCCCAGCGGCTGGTGCCGCCACTGTGTTCGAGTGTAGCTTTTAAGCTTTGAGGGCCAAAGGAAATAACTGAGCATAAAACTGATTGACATTTAACATAAATCGTTAAGATTTGATATAACTACTTTGTCTCACTAACCTGACAACTTTTGTCATGATAGCATTCAAAAGATTGTACAAAGTGATTGTACAGGCTTTTTCATCTTACTGATGTAAAAGATTAGATTATAAACACAGTCTGTAGAGTGTTCACAGGAAATAGTGGACAGATTGACATAACGTGGCAACAACACACATTTTCAATGTGAGCATATAAAAAAAATCAATTCCTTTACTCACCTTTCCAGGAAAATCATACTTTGCTCGTATTTTTTCTCTTGGTGCCTGAAATATATTTTTCACACTATTCAGTTAGTTTTTTTGAGATTAAAAAAACATTTGTAATAACAACGATTCCTGTACCCCCTAACTTAGTCCAACAGCAATAATGCTGCTGTAAATTTATAAACCAGAGCCAAAATTTGCTAAATTAATTTTGAATCAGTTGGGTCAAACCAATTCAATTTTCATTTCTCCTGGTTCTCATGAAAGATGTTTAGTTTCAAATTTCAAAACATAAAAAATTCTAACTAAAAGCATTTCAACAAGTGCAACCAAGTACTTTCGGTTTTTAAATTAGTCTTTTTCCCGAACAGTCTGATTAAAATACAGATCTACATTTCATTTCGTTTTTTTAAATATATTTTTATACTTTCGATAGCCTACACTACATGAAGATCAGACAAGTTGTACTCGAAGGGCGTGTCAGGGGTCATACAAGCGGCTTTTGACCCTATGACATCAGACATCACCGTAACAGACTGTTTCATTGGCTTATCCCTGTACACATATTTGAATAAGCTTGTGAAAGTCCAACATCCCTAATAATTTTCCCCTTAACATTGACCCTCTGGGACCAAAATACTTCTTATCTGAATTATCTCTACCGATACAGCAAATCTACTATTTGGATGGAATCCACTGAGAGTTTGAAAACGTTTGAATTTAGCCCTGCAGAGTTCCTTTGAGGTAAAGCAATCATACTTAAACTAAATAAGCACTGTTCAAGCAACATAATTTTCTAAATTTGGGTGATATCCATCAAGTAGTTCAGTTAAATCAGCCTACAGAAATGGGTCTATTTGACTGATTATGAATAATAGCCATTAGATCCAACGCCCGCTGCTTCAATCCCAAAATAAAGATGACAAGCATTCTTTTACTTGCACATTTATCTTTGTAGCAATCTAACAATCAAACTGTTATCACGAACCTATACACCAGTTTCATTGATCACTACCCCTTATTTAGAAGCATAGTTAATTGTTCTAAAGTCTTAGCCAATAAAATTGTGTATCTTTGCTTAACCTAGGCTTAAAATGCTCATCATCAAACTCAATCAAGACATTCACATACAGAACATCTACACCAAGTTTGAATATACTAGCTAAATTTGAAATAGACTTATTGTATCCAAAAGTGTGACAGACGGACAGACTGATGGACGGACAAATGAACCCATTTTAATAGTCTGGTGCTTTCTTCGAAAGACATCCAAAAGCTTGCCTAATTTTATGTCAAAGCACTGTGCTACTGTACACATACTCACTGGTTTTATTAAAGATGTGGTATCTAAGTAATGAGTTTTATAAAAAGTTAAAAGACTTGGAATATCACTAAATTCTTGATCTCCTATTCTGAATCTTGGTAAGGATCCAGGAGGACCCATCTGTATTTTGTTGATTATATAATGACTGACTTTGGTATCTTCCCTAGAAAAAAAGTTATTACAATCTCAACACGGCTGGCACAGCGAAAATCCGCCCACCAGCAGATTTGTGAAGGGAATGACGCAAGGTTATAATCAGGAATTATTGAATAGTTAAGAGAGAGAGAGAGAGAGAGAGAGTTTAATGTCCACTCAACACATACTAGGTCATTTCAATAATTTGCTTGCACATAGTGTTGTCTAGCTGTGGGAAGAAACCGGAGGACATGGAGAAAACCCACAATGTGGGACAGGTGACGATACCTTACCTTGCAACCTACAAGCTGGGGCTTGAAACCATGCCACTTGCCTCAATGACAGACCTTTTGATCTAAAATGCATGAGTTAGACTACAAGATCACCCAAACCCCCGGAATAGTTAAAGATAGGTTGCCAGGCAGCTACATCAGCCGAGTGGTAGACAAGGGTTTTTGCATATTTATTCTTTTGTAGGTAGTGCGTGTGTGTGTGTGTGTGTGGGGGGGGGGGGGGGGAATGGGGGCATTTATTACCAGACAATCTCATAAAGATCAGATTATAATTTGAGGGTTCACAAATTCTACAACCTGAAAGAAGGGCCTTCAATCTGGAAGTAATTTACAGAAATTGTTGAAATTCAATAGGCTTTATCGTGTCACTCATCTAAATGATGCATATAAATTCCACACAGATCGGATGATTACTTTTGTCATTAGAGCGCTCACAAGGTTCAACAAAGTGAAACAAGGGCCATAACCTCATAGGACAATATTGGTGCCAGTCATTATCACATATGTGATAGAGCTGGTTAAACACATTCCAAATATAATTTTAACACAGAGATCATTGCTACGATAGCTGAGTAATACAGGTTTCCTGAATCGGAAGTGACGAACGCCAAAGGAAAACATGAGTCATCTCTCTATATAACTGACTGAAGTGACGAGTGATAACAGATACGTGGGCGAATTTCTGCTCACTAATAATTCCTTCCAAGACTAAAAGTTGTTGTGTGAGACTGTGAGAGGATATCTGACAATTCATAAAAAGAATTGACTGCCACTAGATAAGAGAACGTGAAAGAAAAACAGAAAAAGTCTGTGCATTGCCATGTTTTTATAAGGTATAGAATGAATATAAACAAGGGAATGTAGTTGTACAGAATATTTCTATCTTTCTCGTGTTCTCTTATCTAATGACAGTCAATTACTTTATTGAATTGTCAGGTATCCTCTTACAGTCCCATATAACTTTTGGTCTTCGAAGAAATTATTAGTGAGCAGAAATTCGGCCGTGTATCTGTTATCACTCGTCACATCAGTCAGTTATATAGAGGCATGACAATCGTGTTTTCCTTTGGCGTTCGTCACTTCCGATTCAGGAAACCTATATTACTCAGCAATCGTAGCAATGATCTCTGTGATAAAATTATATTTGGAATGTGTTTAACCAGCTCTATCACATATGTGATAATGACTGGCACCAATATTGTCCTTTAAGACATAATTAACAGAAACTGCTGGAATTCAATAGGCTTCTTCGTTTCACTAATTCAAATGATGCATACTTTTGTTCAGTTGTCTGAGCGTACACAAGGTACAACAAGGGCCATAACTCGAGAAGAAATTAACAAAAATTATTGAAATTAAATAGGATTCTTCATATTAAATAGGATTCTTCATCTCAGTAATGTAAACAACATATATCAATTTCAAGACAATCAGATGATAAATGTAGGACGACCACACTTCCATGTGGGCATATAATAAAATCACAACAAGTTTTATTCAAATTATTGTGTTAGATTAACATGAGCCAACTGGATCTTCAGGCATTGTATATCGTTTACATATTTCACTGCACTAGCAGCTGTATAAAAACATTCAAGATTGATGATAAACTCTCTCCTCACCTTTCAGCAAGCAGCACATCAGATTACAGATAATGGTATTTAAATATTTCTTAAAATTGTAGTTACTATAGTATTGTGGGAACACTTCTCTAAATCTGATAAATCTGTAACCTCTATTGTGCTGACAAGAAATGTATATGGACCAACGGATAAAAAGGGTGATACCAAAACACGCCGACTTAAACATATATTATGCAAGAGCTAAATCTACCTATTGCAGGTCTTTCTTTAGGCCTGAAATGTTTTCTAAATTATTAATTAGACATTAATTAACTTATCCAGGCCATAATCAACTCTCAATGGCATCGGATTTCTCCGATATTAAATAGATTAGAACAGTTCAGCCATATTTTGATTTAATCTAAAGATGGAGGAGCGAGACTTAGCTTCAAACAACCAGTACGGTGGTTGAAATTATTGCACACATCTTGTCAAACCTTCAAAGGCTAATATCTTCGTTCGCAATAGAGTAATTTGAATGAAATTTTCAAATTATTCATTTGACATTGTCTATTTTCGAACTATTTTAGCAAGAATGGCTAGCTCTGTATCTAAATCTAACATAATGTATCTTTAACATGTTGGCATGTCAAACAGATGAAAAGCCACTACTTGAGCATTATCCCTTCTTGCATGGTCTTCTCAGTAAGCCTCTCCTTCTGTGCAACTTAATTATCCGAAGAGCTATTTTTATTTTGAATGTTTACATGTGCAGTATACACCTGATGGGTGTGTAATTCACAATTTCTCCGGTATTTTAATAAGTTATGTTAGTTGAATTTGGTATGTCGATCTTTGTACAAGATTGCTTTACTTCCGAAGACCAAATTATCATTTTTACAAGGTGTGATCACAATACAGCTGTATTCCCAAAATTTTCACACATGAACAATACAATGGTGCTCAAATAGAGACTGACGATCAAGGTTCTAAAACAATAATTTATTAATTATCAATAAATCATGCGGAGTGCTGAGTTTTTTTATTGATCCCAGTTTAAGATTTTAGTTTTTGTGAGATATCACTAGGACAAATTCAAAATTGCTTATGCTTTCAAGTTTCATTGAAATTTTGTAAAACTCTAAGGGAGAAGGTAATTTACTTTTGAAACATCCGGATATGAAAGGATGGTTTTTGAACAGCTTCTGTATTTGTTCACATATGTGGGAGCTTTACAAATGGTCAAGAACTTAAATCTGTAAAGTCGTTATAAGTAAGTGTGGACAGATGGGGGAGACAATAATCTGAGATATCTGGCATTTTTTATGGTCTGGGTTTAGATTTGAAGCTTTAAACAACAGCACTATTAAATTCTTACCGCACACATAATACACAATCTCCTCTAATAGATTTACTGTCTCTAATCAAAAATATGCCACTCTCAAGCGTAGGAGCCATTAAAATCTCATTGGCCTCCTCTCGCGTTAATGGCCCAAAATACCAACTGAAAAATAAAAATTAAATAACATGAAGCTGTCCATCTGAGATGTTGCATTTATCACATGGAGCTACTGTATGAATTGATAGAACAGATAATTTGAATGATAGACATAAAAGGGTACGAGTAGGAAATTGCATGAATGAAAATAATGTTTTGTTATTGCCACTGTCTGACAATACCCATGGAGGGGTTGAAATAGTTATTTTACAGAAAAAAAAGTCATTTCGAATTTAACTGATGTACACATTTTAAGAATTATTTGATTTCGCACCCATAAAATGACATTTAATGATTAAAATATTATACAAAGAACAACTGTTTTTCCTTATTTCAACTTCATTCATTTCAAATTATCGCAGGTACGTTGCAGTAAATATACTGGCATATATTTCACTATTTGATGATAATTGATTATTCGTTGCAGTAATTATACTGGTATACAGCTATTTGATATTGGGTTATCATTTTATAATACTGGGTAGCAGCCTATATGATGGTAATATTGCATATTGAGACATCGCCATTCACATTTGTAGCACCTTTTCCGTGATTTAGCTCATTGCTATTGAAGTGATCAATCACTAATTACACTTTTTTGTCATATTATTGAATATATGCAAACATTTTAAATACTCTCGTCATTTAAAACATGGTCCGAATGAGCCTCGTCATGATTCGAATTAGTCAAGAATGTGGTCCGAATCATCCAAGAATATGGTCCGAATCAGCCAAGACTCCCAAGAGAGAGAGAGAGAGAGAGAGAGAGAGAGAAATGGGGTCTAACGTCCACTCGACACAAACTAGGTCATTTCAGGACTAACACATGGTTTATTTTATTTCAGTAAAATGCTTGTGCGTAGGAGGCTTTAGCAGTGGGAGGAAACCGGAGGACCCGGAAAAACCCCACACGGTTGGACAGGCGACCCTACTCCTTGTCACATACCAGGGATTCGAAACCACGCCAGTTGACTCAATGACAAACCTTATGATACATGGCACACGTGCTAACCATTCGGCCATCCAGCCCCCTCCGAATCAGCCAAGAATCTAGTCCAAATCAGCCAGGTCTGAATTAGTTCAGCTCTAAACATAGGTCTCATTACACTCGCCCTCTACGTTCAGGAACTGTCTCTCTTCTGGGTCAGTGTAATGAGACCTACCTACGTTCAGAGCTGAACTATTAATCTATTGTTCAATCAGGAGTTTCAAATATAAATGTATATAAATTGTGGGTTCATAAACTAAAGCAGTTGCCCAGTAGAATTGACTGGGAAGCGATTAGATTTTCGACAAGGATTCAATTAGGACAGTTCCTGAACGTAGAGGGCGAGTGTAATGAGACCTACGTTCAGAGCTGAACTAGGTCTGAATCAGCCATGCCATAGTCCGAATCAGCCGATTACCGTATGATTGCTCTCTATTTCAGGCCAAATAACTGCAGTAGTACCATAGAGGTACTTGATTTGTGTCACTTCCTGATTTTTGAAATCTTTCGTTATGGATCCAGCACATCAAAGATATTTATAATTTACATGTTTTTAGTTAGATTACATTAGGTGTTTATAACCAGTTCTGTCACATGTAAAATTGATGTAGACTAACATCCTTCTTTAATGTGGGCGTAGGGCTATATAAGCCTAATAAAATGGTTAAAAACTAACAAGATGAAATTAAACTACGGTATTTATTAATAAAGGTCTCCAATTATCTCAATGTTTCAGTAGCGACATTCTTCATAGTGAACTTTTTTCGTTTGACCCAAACTTTTTAGTAAGATTACTGTACTTGACATGCCATGGCCTAAAAACTAGTGCCCTTAATATAATAATTATGGCCTATTTCATTAATTCCAATCCAATCCTCCTGTCAGTATTCTCAGATTTACTGTTAGTTTAGTTAGTGTTACGTACTGTGTACGGACGGTAGAGTCTACTTGCCTGTATTTATTTTCTGCATCGAAATCTGAAGCCATGTTGGCAGAAATCAAACTAAGTGGGTAAATATCTTCATTGCATTGACATGACAGTTATTCCATTTAGTTCAGGAAGTTATAATCAATTAAATATGGCGAGTCACCCATCAACTAACCCAAATCACCCAGAAAACGATAGCCGAATCATCCAGACTCGTTGTTCGCATGGATTCAGACTAGTAATTTGATTCGCTGATTTCGTGATAGTTCGTCCATTTAATTATAGTAAGTTTCTCCTTTTCCCCTTTCCCGGATTGTACATGCTATTTTTGGTCGACTTTCTAGTCAAAAAAGTTGTTTGGATTTACAGTTTCTGACAAGTTATGGTAAATTTTTATGATTTTGAGGCGGAAGGATCAGGAGGTAAACAGACATGAATAATTAGGGAAATGACCAGGCCTGGTGTGACAGTGTGAGTTGGTTCCTGGTGTGTGATTACCGTTTAGCGCATGCGCAATTGTAGGAGTCACTCACACCGTGTCGATGACTGATCTCGGTGATGGGATTTCCCCTAAGATTTTCTTACGGTCAAATCGGTTTCTACACTATTATCTACCAATATTTACAGTATTACTAACAGGAGAGGGTGTCGAGTTTCTATTGTTTGTTTATTTCGATTAGAAATACAAATTATTGACTAAGAAGGCGCGGATTGAGTGAGTCGTAGCAATTCGCGTTGATGGAAAATCCCCCGGCCGCGTGACGTCAGAGCGAGCGTCTTCCGCACTCGGCAAACTTCGGCCTCGGCTGTATGACGAAGTCCGCCATTAAATCTACTTTCCAGTTCCCGGATTACCAACGGCGTTGCCCATGACGACCTCTTTGAAGAATGTTTTATCATACAAATATTTCAAAGTCTGGAGCTATTTTTCTTTCACGTTTGTCCCATTTTCTTCAAACAAGGATAACTTTGCACTGAACATTCTACACACGCTTCGAACGACTCAATTTTGATAACTTCTTTTTAAAAGCAGCTAGTGTTCCTAATAAGTAAACCGGCGTAGGCGTATATAGTTACATACAGCCGAGGCTAGATGTAGAGTACCTGAATCACCCGAGGTTTGCCGAGTGCGTCTTCCCTACATAAACGGTATCTTTGCAGATATTGATATTAAACTATTACAATACAATTACTAGTAATACATTTAAATAAAACAGTAATTCAGAATCGTAGATTGAAGTGGGCTAGATTTCAACCGCTGGCTGTCAGAATTCACGCAAAAGTCACGTGACCTGAAACCCCTAATTTGAGTATAATAAAACAGACAGGCTATAAATTGTGAAGTTGTAAAATTTTTAATAAGTACAAAATTAAAATAACAATGATACAGAGAAATCACAATCATATAAAGGCCAATATTCAATCTGCAAAATAGTTAATTATTAAAACCTAGCTAAAATATCAAAAAGTGTAACGATTAATCACTAAAAAAAAAAACCAACGGCAGCAAATCACGAACGATAGAAGTATCAATTTCAAGACCATTAACTTAGAACAGTTGATTGTGTAACTACTGATCACTAAACCAACAGCTAATCACGATAACAAGTATGTTTATTAATGACAAAACTCTAACCATATACGTAATAATTTTTCCTGGACTGATCAGAGATCAGGAACCCCTTAATTCACACCGCGCGTGGTTCCCCCTTGTCAGTGATGCAGGACGGAGGGCCTGACAAGGACAGCTGTCTAGTCCTTCGGATGATACGAAAACCCGAGGTCCCGTGTAGGTATAAATTGGAATCGCGTTAACGGTCCCTTGGCAGTTGGAATTCGATATAGAGTAGGCGATAGTGCCGCTGCCCGGGCAGAATTTCCCTCATAGCACACTGTATGGCGTATGCCCGTCTTCATTAGCCCAGCATAGGAGCAGAACAGTAGGACGTTAAACCCCATTTCATTTCATTTCCCTCACACCGCCGGAAGTAGATATAGCTTCGTTGTTAGCGCAAACGGTTTGGGACATGCGCAAGTAACCAGAAGCAAACACACACCGGGGGTCAATTCAAACTATCACACCGGAAATCACCTACGAAAGTTATTGTTTTGGACTATCGTTGAAAAATATCGAGGTGGGTCAACCCCCTTCAATGTTTATCGGGTTCTTGTGACATGTCAAACTCATTGTTGTTGTAAAGATTAGGATCATCGGAAACAAAATTTATGACATGGAAGCAATGAGATGAGAATTACCAGTCTGATCCCACATCCCGTTTGTATGGGCTGATCCGGAATACACTTTTTTTTTTTTTAAAGCAACGAGTTGGATTATTATTTTAGCTTTCACCTTTTGATTTTTGACATGAAGTATTAAATTTATGGATTTCAAATAACTTTAATGGTGCCTTTATTTGTGATGACCCGCTTACCTGCTTTATATATTTGGCATTTACTGTCTTTTATACCTTTTCAGCAAGATAACTAATTAATAAATACACGGTCTTCGATGCGCGGTTTCGTATTATTCCTACAAAGTTGAGAGTTAAGGAATGAGTATGTGTGATCAGAACAAATTAGTGCTTAATAAGGCATATTCAACCTTGGGTGATTCTATTTCGGGTTTATTTGTCTTCAAATCTGGTATATTTATGGGATTTTATGGGTAGTTGTTGTCCTCCGCCATACTGAAGCAATTTAAATAATAAATAAGTACCATCCCAATATTATCAAACTAAAATTATAATGATCGTCAAAAATAGCAGCATGCCAGCACATTCTGCAACGAATCTGTGCTGATTTGGAGAAATGAAATGGGGTTTAGCATCCCACTTTTATGCGCAGACTGAGCTAATGAAGACGGAGGAGAAAGCAATGAATTTGAAATAAGAAAAATAACTTTTATGAGAAGAGTATTTTTTACACATTAAACATCTTTTTATGAGCTTAGATAAGTTTTTAGTTTGTTCTATAACTTGATCGTTATCGACCTGATGGTGGTCCCATTAAGATTTGATGACATTTAGCTTAGTTAATAAACTGGAGATCCTGCGTTGGCCGAGAATATTCCTCGAGATTTTCCAGCGTGTTTTCCCCTTAGCGGTGCCACATTGGCGTGCACGTAACAGGACCATTCATTCCGGGTCAAATATCCTTCATAGCACACTATATGACGTATGTCTCGTCTTCATTAACCCCTGTGCTGATAGTGGTATTTCGGGACCACACGACCATATTTGCGGGGAACTGGTTCACAATTGTCTAGCGAGAATGTTATACATTGTCAGCTACTTAAACGTTATGTATAATGCTGCAAATAGAACGGTAGTGAGGCAGTGGCAACATTCTCCATTTGACAAGAATCTAAAATTATTTTGTGGCCCCCCTTCCCTCTCCTTAAAACATTTTGCTGGTTACAAATGCCTGATCTGTTCTGCGCTCGGTGCAAGCTTTGTATTTGGAATCTTTCTTACTGATGATATTGTGTTGATCATTCTAGTAGCCTAAACTAGATCTGAAAACAAATCTATCAACCCCGTCAAAAGACGATTCTACGTGGAAATTTCAACCAGATTGGCGTGAACTTGCCGTAAAGTGGGTATAGTAACCAATGGCTTCACGCATTAAAAAGTTTTTTCGTCCATCTTATGTGAACTTTAAGTTATTTGCAGCTTTTTATGCTTTCAAAAATACCTTACAAATCATACCTTCACTGTTAATACCTCAATTTTTTTTTATATTTTTTTACTTTGATTGATTATTATTCAGTCTTTATACGAAGCTCTAGTTTGATCGTATTTTAATAAGGTCTGGGGCCTTAGATTACCCCTTGTTGCTAAAGTTTTTCATGCGACGTGTCTGCACAAGGGTTAACTCTGTCGGTGCAGAACATTAAGGCGTTAAACCTTATTTTAAGGCATTTTATTCCAATCAGTTTTACCTATTAATACAAACATAGTCTTTTCTCTTCTCTGTTCTTTAAAATTGTATGTGCGTTTTATTTGTATTTTACATTAGTCTGGGTACCACACCACAGTCCCACGACTTACCTATAAAGCTTAAAGTTGCATAGTTATTCAAACAATAATTGGGGATTGAAATCTGTCATACAGAACCAGGCAAACGCATTGATTGCTATAAACAATATATCACACCCGACCTCAAATTGAACATATTCGGGCCCCAAGTTCAGAAAGCATTCTCAGACTTTAAGTTAAGACTTTACCTAACATTCAATCACTGTTTATGAGAAATATCAAAGATCCAGAAACACAAAACTTTGCACACGGTTTCTTATTGATGTATTTGATACATTAAAATAACAAAAGTTTTATAAAGGGCTATATTTTAGTTAAAATAAGGCGAACAATTTTGAGTAAATTCTTAACTTAAGTCTGAGAATGCTTTGTGAACTCGGGGCGGGTAAGCTCTTTATAGGGGCGCCGAAACTCCGGAGCTATGGACGCAAATGCCCCCCCCCCCGCCCCTGCCCCCAAAAGCAGGAGGTAATTGCTGACTGTCCTTTAAAGTGTTTTTCGTACACCAGCAGTGAGATTGACTGTCCTGTTGAGCCTCGTGGGTTTTCTCAAGAAAATTATTGAAATAAAACTAAACCATATGTTAGTCCCGAAATGGCCTACTTTGTGTTAATCGAGTGGACGTTAAACCCCATTTCTCTCTCTCCCTCTCTTTCTTTCTCGCTTCAACTCTTCGCCGATTTTAATAATTGATATGTGTTCGAGCATTGATTGCTTAGGTAAGGGGGGGGGGATATCCCATCTCGTGCTCGTATCCGGTTATAGTGAGTGGAGCCCAAAGGTGTTCATACATACAGGGCCCTTATTCACGAAAACTTAAACTAAGATACAATCGAAATTTTAAGAAATACTGCAATTCGATTGGCTGACCAGTAAAATTAATTTGCATATATCCAATGAAGTTGCAGTATTTCTTTAAAATTTCGGTTGTAACTTAGTTTAAGTTTTCGTGAATAAGGGCCCAGGTCGAGCCGCATGAGTTTTGTTCTCTGAGCTAGCTGTCCATGATGTGTGGAGTTGGTCTCCGTGCTTTAAACCGAAAGTAGAAGTGACTCAGTTTCGTTTGCCCAAAAACTATTATTGAAATTTCTATCGGATTTTGTGGATTCTTACGAAGCAAGATACCATCCTCTCGTCGACTGGCGGAAGAGAGGGCTAAAATGAAGTCTAAGGCAGCTTTAGCCCCGGGTCAGAAGACACTGACAGCTATTTTGTCGGGGAACAACGAAGCTGAAACTGAAAGTGTCCCTTAAACTTCAAGTCTTCTAAGCGAGCCGAGTGATGTTGTAGGAGCCTGCTACT